TGGCCGCCGAGCCAACCCCTTCCTTACGCTTACACCCTTTCGCCGAGTGATTGCTGCCTGGCTTTCTAAAGCGCCATGGAGCATGAACGATGATCAGCAACACATCGCTGCTATCCCGTTATGGTTCCACTTCATGCCATCTGTGCCCTGCTCCCAAAACTGCGCAATTGCGCGTGTAACGCGTATGTCCGTTTGCAAAGCCTATGGAAAGGGTTAGGTTAGTCCAGAGTCCGAACCACAGTCTGGAGTAGTATCCGACTTAATTGGCATTGGGAGCTGGTTTGAGCCCAGTCATGCAACAAATACAAGCTATCGGAAAGATTGACCGTGGGCAAGAAGCCCGATCTTCTTTTGTCCCAGGATCAGAGTATCTTGACCTGATATGGTTCCCCAACAACTGGGAGTATCTCATTTGACTTCCGGATACGGAGTACATCCAACGCGAGCCAAACATCAGAGCACAGATATTGTTCGGGATATGCGGCGGGACTATGAATGTACAACGGCATCTAGGCAATAGCATTAGCATGTATGACCATCAGCCTATTAAAATGGCGATTAATTGATTTCGCACTCGCAATCATGATAAGCTATATCAGACCATTGTTGATTCTGGGTACCCATAGTCCTCAGATGCGGTGTGGCAGTCTCCTCGTCTCCTCTCTATTCTGTAGCGGGACCAGGAATAGCCTTGAGACTACCTGGATATTACCAAGCAGGCGCAGCTCGGATGCAATAGAGCGAAAGTAACAGGCAGATATGGAGCCCTAGGGTGCGTGGACAGTGCATATTCAACCTTTTTTTAAGAATTTGCAAATACCACATCTGTCCTTAGCTAACTCGATCCCCACTTTTCAGTCTTCTAAAAGAAACTAGATTACCCAATGTGCAGGTGCCCATAGGTTCTGTAGGCACATGGTTGGCAAAGAAAAAGTGGATCTCAATATATCATATGCATCCTGCATTGCATGCCTTGGCACACTAGACTCGTTCACCTCAACGCGGCCGGAATAGTACATATCATGGATCATTTTTTGCGGGTAACCTGGGAAAACTTGGCTCTAATGGCGGTGCAAGCTATACGCGAACCTCTTCTCGGCCCCAAGTTAAGCCAAGCGCGCTGACCTAGGCAGAGAACCGGATGGACGGAAACGGAAGCATCTTATGTGGCATCCACTTCCGAGATCAAACATTCCAGTACGGAGTAGATCACGCATTTTCTTGGTCGCTCACCGACATAGCTTTAAATATAGTGAATTGTTCAACCTGGGTCTCTCATGCAGGCAAAGCACTCATGATTGCTGATCTCCAGCTTGCCACCCTGGATCGTTCGCAATAAAATTGCTGAGGTCAAGTACGGAGTAATTGGTCCTCATATCAGTTTGACACTTTGCCTCCGCGGTACAATTTGGTCATACATAGATAAGGATACGCTGGGCCAACTTCGATGGGCTGACTATGACTTTCTGATCTCCGTTGCCGGATAACGACTAACTCAGAAGACTACCTGTAGTGGGTAGACACTTGCAGGCACTCGCAGGTGGCCAAATCTGTCGGTTCGTCCGAGAAAATTGTCTCTGCGATGGCCTAGAGGGCGTTTTACCATAAACATTTGCAAAAATGTAAGGGCTGTACACGGATAACTGGCATTCTATGTACCATTTACTTGATTTTGAAAATAATTCAAGTTTCAATACCTCTTCCAAGGACTTAATGCGGTGTTTTGGATCGGCCTCCTTCGGTGTCCGAGAACTCCCGTTCATTGACCAAAGTGGCGGCGTGGAGGTTAACGGGGGCTGAACATGCCAGGCTGGACATACTTAGCCGCTTATACCGCTGATTGTACTGGAACGCCATATCATTGTCAACATAAACCTTACAAAAGGGGGCTAATGGTAGCTAAATAATAAACAGTTTTCAGCTTCGACTCCATGTGTTTTTATTCAGTCGACTGATTGGCAAATTTTCATGGTTCGCTCTACTACTACCAGATATGAGACCTCTTCATTCTTTGCAATAACTTCTTTTTATTTTATTTCTTAATAATTGAGTATTAAGTAGAAGTGAGGTAGAAAGTTTCCTAACTTCAATGAGTCTAAAATTTCATATTAGGCTTCAAACAATGAAAGTACCGTTCATAAATATACATCTCTACAGTGAGGTAACGCATACATACAGCATCAACAGTTTAGAGACGTGTTGGGTGTTCCTAAGGACTCTGAAGAAAATCCAGATCCCCACGAGATTTAGGCAATGGAAACTACATTATGTATTAAAGCAAGCTTCAACATGCAAGTAGATTTATCAATCAATAAACATCTGACTGGTAACCAAATTCTCATAAGAAGCGCATACATTCAGCGCAACGCATCCTAACCAACAGTAGAGCCTAGCAAGATAAAAAATGGATTCTGATGCTGGCCTCTCATTGGATGCACTTAGGATATGGTCATTCTGAAGAAAGTCCGTTCAGTTTATATATACTTCCTTAATTCAGTAAGTTATAATAGTCATATTGAGTATCAGGAATACTAATGCATCTCTTTTTAATTCAATTTTCCTTTCATTTCGGCAAGTCTTAAATTGGGTCAAGAGACAGGAGTCTATCTGAGCAGACCTATAGACCTCAGGGTACTTTTGCATAAAACCCTGGCGTTTCAAAGCAACTTTCTCCTACAATGTATGTAACTCTGGATTTAATATTGCCCCGGTTGGACACTGATGACCGGTGTAGCCCACAAATGCTATTCTAGATCCCTTATATACCCATCACAAGACATAATAAATTGATATATTTCAATCCTTGTGCAAACATTACTGTCGCACGCTTTGGGGGTCTAGGTGCTTTGCATAGATCCTTGGCGGAGGACATGGCTTTGTTAGCTCATCACAATGCTATATGCATTCAAACCTTTTGACAATCGGACTTGGGCTACAAAGTCTAGGACCGAGAAAAGGTAAAGTTCTTTGAGTACGAATTCCTTTGTACCTGTGTTCATATACTAACTCTTTCATGAATTATGAACTTATCGGAGACGATGTGTATTTTGAACGGAATCCCTGGCCCCAGACGCTTTTTTGCACAGCAAGAAAGTGCTTAGGGTCTATGAGTGGTCTGAGAATGCCTTTGCAAAGTTATAATATTTTTGTGTCCTTGGGTATATCCAGATTTGTTTCCGTTTAGGAAATGCTTGATTCCTCCTGCTTTGACCCAAACGAAGAGCAAAGGAGTTTTTACGGCATTGTTTGGAGAACCATGCAACAATGCTGCTATCTCCCGAGACAGACTAGAGAAGGTGATTATTGTATAACAGAATTCTCCATTCCAACTGAAATATCATATAATGAATCAACTGGAAATTAAAGCGAGGCAGTACAAGGGCGGGTTGGAGTATACAGGTATATTAACCACGAGGCATACCGCGTTATCTATATCAACCCTGGGGTATTGCGTTCTATAACCCAGCCTAAAACCATGAACAAAATTAACGGCTGTCCATTGGCAGCCTCTGTGGCGTGTATTTTAGACCAGTCACGAATCCCCAGTCTTCTTTGGGGGCAACTAGCAGTTGGGTTGGTTGGCGACAAATCGGCAACAAGCGTACGTGTATATTCCCAATTCTTTTGATTTGCATTTCTCACAAGCTTTATCTACATTTTAGGAAATTGAGTTCATCGTACCAGATAGTCTGATTCTGTCTGCCACCGGGGCCCTAGAGAAATCAGGATTCCCTCCGTGCGATAACTCTAACTGCTCTGAACACCAGCTGCGTCAGGGTCGGCCTACTGCAGACGTACACTTTCACCTTGAAGGGGTGGACAAAAGTTGGAAATTATTGTCTTTGTTCAAAAAGTCGAAAACTGTCTGGTGGCTCCCTGAGTTCAAGTTACAAACACCGGCTCGGGATGATCTCCATCTTACACTTTCGAATGATCATCGATTGCCACCTTGCTTCCCAAGAAGCTCAGGTCCCTGGAAAAGTCTACACCCCATCAGGATCTTGCACCCAAGCTCGCTCGTTGAAGCTATGATTCTGCTCATGTGTCGAGATATTGACGAGCACAATAACTACTTTCAACAATGGAAGAGTTGGGTGTCCTGTTTACTGGACAACTCCCATGATAAACGGGATCCTGAATATCAGATTTCAAAGTCTGTTCTGCCGGATTTCCAGAATTTTTGGCACAGCTTTAATTACCGGCGGGCAAATCCATGGTTGGCATTGTATGAGCTGCGGTACAAGTTGTGTCAAAAGAACGAACTTCCGCCTCCGCCCTCAATTGGTGGGTAGACAGGTTTGCGGGTTAGACTGATTGTGTTTCTTTTCTTTTGTTTTGTTTTTATGGAGATGCTTTGCTTGGAATATATGTTGAGTATTCATTCAATTAGATGTCATTATTGCATAAAGAACTAGATAGTAAAAGGTGTTGTTGTAAAAGCCGGGAAGGACCGGGAAAGTCACGTGTCGATAGCCCGATGCCGCCCCGCGAGAGCACGTGACCGTAAAGCGGCGTGGGCCCCGCTGGAGGGCCCTGTTCCTAATCCAGAAGGTACGCAGCGTGCACGTGCCACCCCGGCCTCCGAAAGCCGGTCCTCTCTCTCTTTCTCTCTCCTCCCTCATTCTTTTCGCCCTAAGATACTAACCACTCTCTTCCTTCATCCGCGGTGCCTCGAATCAAGTCAATCTCTCGGTGGCCCTCCTCTCTACCTAATCACTCTTTTTGTGTGGAGTGATTCTTTCTTCCCCTTCCCTGATTTCTTTTGTTTGCGGGCTTTGCAGTCGCTGGCGGGACCGGTGAGCTGAGTAACGTACCCCTCCAGCAGAAACGCTAGGCAAGGAGTAAGCTCGAGTGACTGATTGTCTCCCTTTCTTAAGCTTCCTAGCAATCTTTGTAAGTCACTTCTCTCTGTACCGTCTAGTGTTACAATTCTCCCACACATTGCTTTAATATAGTATGCTTACTGCTTTATCGCCTCGCCTATAGCCTAACGTACCACGATGCACGTCAAAGATAAGCTCGCCCAAAATGAAGCCGCGGGGAGGACCGGAATTTCCTTCGAGTTCTTCCCCCCGAAGACTGCTCAAGGTGTGCAGAACCTTTACGACAGAATGGATCGTATGCACGCCCTTGGTCCCTCTTTCATTGACATCACCTGGGGTGCCGGTGGTCGACTGTCTGATCTCACCTGCGAGATGGTGAACGTAGCGCAGTCGGTGTATGGCCTTGAGACCTGCATGCATTTGACTTGCACAGACATGCCGACCGAGAAGGTGGATTCTGCTCTCCAGGCAGCCTACAAGGCCGGCTGCACGAACATTCTGGCTCTCCGTGGTGACCCACCTCGTGAGAAGGAGACGTGGGAAGCCACCGAAGGAGGATTTCGTTACGCCAAGCATCTAGTGAAATATATTCGGGACAAGTACGGGAACCATTTCGACATTGGCGTGGGAGGTTATCCAGAGGGAGCGGATGACAATTCGGATGTTGATCTTCTGATCGACCACTTGAAAGAGAAAGTCGATGCCGGAGCTTCATTCGTGATCACGCAGATGTTTTACGACACGGACAACTTCATCGAGTGGGTGAAAAAGTGCCGGGCCAAAGGCGTTGACATACCGATCATCCCCGGTATCATGCCCATTCAAACCTATGCCGCATTCATTCGTCGTGCCAATTGGACGAAATCCCGAATCCCACCCGAGTGGCTTGAGATCCTCGAGCCTGTCAAGAACGATGATGCTGCTGTGAAAGACATTGGAAAGGGTCTAGTGGCAGATATGTGCAGAAGGCTTATCGCATCCGGCATCAACCATCTGCATTTGTAAGTTTTTATGCCGTTCCTTTTCGATTGCCCAGAATCACAGGCCCCGAAACTGATGGTCACCTTTAGCTATACCATGAACCTTGCTCAAGCTGTGCAGCTGGTGCTTGACGAATTGGACCTTATGCCATCTGAAGAGACTCCCATCCAGAGACCTTTGCCCTGGCGGCCATCTTTGGGTCTCAACCGCAGAGCCGAGGACGTCCGACCTATCTTCTGGCGCAACAGAAACTCCTCTTATATCGCACGTACACAGACATGGGATGAGTTCCCCAACGGCCGATGGACTGACTCCCGCTCGCCTGCCTTCGGTGAACTTGACTCTTATGGCATCGGTCTCAAAGGCACCAACGAACAGAACATCAAGCTTTGGGGAGAGCCCAAGTCTATTCGCGATCTTGCTCACATCTTCGTTCGTTACTTGGAAGGGAAACTGGAACGACTTCCCTGGAGCGACACACAGCTCAGTTCTGAAGCCAATGTGATCAAGGATAAGTTGATTGAACTCAACAACCGAGGTCTTCTCACCATCAACTCACAGCCCGCTGTCAATGGTGCCAAGTCTTCCCACCCTGTGTACGGATGGGGTCCTAAGAACGGATTTGTGTACCAGAAGGCATACCTTGAACTTCTGGTGCCTCCCTACTTGCTTGACGAACTCATTTCGCGCATTGAAAAGAACGAAGACCTCACGTATCACGCCGTCTCTAAGACTGGTGAGCTGCGAACCAACACTCAGGACAGCCCCAATGCTCTGACGTGGGGTATTTTTGCCGGACGAGAGGTTGTTCAACCTACGATTGTGGAAACAATCAGTTTCTTAGCCTGGAAGGACGAAGCCTACCGCCTGGGAGAGGACTGGGCCAAATGCCACGAGGCCACAACCCCGAGCAGGAAATTGATCCAGGGTGTTGTGGATGAATGGTACCTGGTCAACATTGGTAAGTTTCGAATAGGAAAAGCCTCTTCCTCACCCTGATAACTAACGCCTGTTTTCTTAGTCAACAACGATTTCCACAACACTTTCAGCCTCTTTGAGCTATTCGATGGCTTGGACCTGAAGGATATTGATACCGAGGTTTCTGCCGACAGCGCAGAGTCCAAGCAGCCCCCTGCCAAGGAAGCAGCTCCAGAAGTTGCCGTGAAAAACTAATCGCCATACCCATCTTCAGGCCCGCACCAACACACCTGGCCCTACCCTACAATTCTCTTGTGCCTCTTCAACGACTATTATACTTATTAATTCAACATCTCTCTCAACGATACCTGTCTGGGGATCCAACCCTTCCCCCAGGCATTGAAATGTTTTATGGCGACACGAAACGAAGACCTCTCAACGATTTCTTCCTTGAGCGTTATCTTACTTCAACATGACTTTTAACATTCAACCATTATACCCCTGGAATTTGTTTCTTTTATGTCTTTTCCTTTCCTCTCATTATTCTCCTCTTTCAACCACGGAGGGGAATCCAAAATTCAACATGGTAATATATCCGATAGAACCAGGGAAAAAGAGGGAACCTTTCTTTTTTTCATTCCCGCTCTTTTCCTTTTCTTTCGGAACAAAACAAGATTTAAGAACGGGGCTACTATGCAAGCCTCTTACGATAATTCAACACTACGGATGATGACGGAGTTGGTTTCATGAGAATAAGTTCAAAAAAAATGATCCTCTTCAACAAACGAGGATATGGATTCTTTCTTCATGGATTTTTTTTTTTTTTTTTTTTCTTTTGATGCATGCATTTTTTTGGATATTTATCCAATCGTGATTTTTTTCAATTTTTTTTCGTCGTGGCCTCCATCCAGGCCACTTTTCCTCGCTGCATTGTTGCATTGCGATCATGGCACCGCAGGCATCCACTGGACTATCATGTTCAGAGTACGATAGAATTTGTCCATGACATACATGCCTGCCCCTCTTCAGATTGAGAGGCTAAATAGAGTGTCATTGTCATATCTAGAAAATTCAAAATAAGTCTACTTATACTTATATTCTGGTGCTTTCACCTGATGTCTTATCTGATATTATGCGTTTGAGATTTTCTTGGGTGCATAAGTTGTGGATTGCTGGTATGAGCTCAGAGTCTTCATCTTATTGTCGGCCGATCGAAGCAAGTAGAACATTCGACTAAGGATATACATTGATTGGACACTTGGAAGGCCAAGAGACTAGAATAATTCAACCGAGTTACACAGGTACACCTCGCTAGACAAACATAGGAAGTCGTAAAGATAAAGAAACACATGAAGAAAAGAACCCCTACCAAGAAAGACAATCGCTACGACGGCTTACTCCCGTATTCCATGAACTGTGGGAAAGAGTCCAGGTGCACAGGACAAACATGTCGACATAAACAAAGGCAGGAAACACGAAGCATAATCAATCGCCCAAGGGTATCTATCTAGTCATCGACCACAATACGCCAGACCAGACCAGACCGCATCACGCTACGTTAACAGAGCTCTCAGAACCCACCCAAAAGGTTTCGTCACCCAGACGATCCAGCTTCCAATGAGTACGATGTACCCGGCCGCTCGACCAACGACCATCATGATGAAACCCAAGGCGACGAGATAGATGACGGCTTGGCCGAGTTCGGTCAGCGAACGGGCAACGTCTTTGTCGTTGGATTTCGGCCACGATCCCGTGGAGTTATAGACGGAGCAGGCCGAGAGGAAATTTCGGAGTACGTATAGACAGTGGCCGATCATGTTGAGGACGCAGTTGAGGGCGATTTTCGCCAGAACCGCTCGGGAGTTCCAGTTGGCCATGATGTCCTTGTACAGGTCTTGTGCTTGAGCGATGGACAGGAAAAAGATGTCGATGATGAGGCCGAACGTGACGGAACTCATGAGGTCCTTGTCATTATCGTCCTCGTGTGGAGACTTGTCGCTGCTCGTTTTGGCACCGAGATCATCCACGGCAGTAGGCGTTTTGGGAGGTGCATCCCGGTCTTTGTGCTCGTCTTTTGCATGATCATCGACCTGATGTCCATCCAACTCAGCGACCGCGAAGATCCGCGCACTGGGCAATGGAATGGGAGGTTCTGGGTGAACGTTGGTGTTTAACTTTGGCGGTGGCATTGGCCTCTGAGCCGAGACGGACTTGGGAAACTGAGCTGGATCGGTGGCGCTCCTCACAGGGGGCGCCGCGTTTTCGCTACTGCGCGGCGTCTCGTACGTATGAGAATGCCGCTTAATGCGCGCGCGAGGATTGGCGCTTCCGGCGGAGGACTTTGCGATGCCTGTGGTATGGATGTACCCACGGATAGCGCGCGGCTTCTCCACCTTGGGCTGGGGTGTAACTTCTTGTTCCTTCACGGCAGGACCGCTTGGGCTGGGTCCAGGTTTTGACGATGCTGTGGATGGCATATTTGACTTTACCCACGAGTTTTGCGTCGCTCGACGTAAGCCCGACGGTGTAGAGTGCGCGGGAGGCTTTGCCCTGGTGTCGGTGATGATTTCGCCGGCGGCGCGAGACGCGGGCTCTTTCGGTCGAGAAGATTTCTGGACGACGCCTCTCATGTCCGCCATGGTCATCATAGTGCGCGTGATAGTGGGTGTGATAATGAACACGTCGTCGTCTCCCTGGGGGCGTTTCCCTCGTTCCGGATTCCTTAGGGGGATCCCTATCTGGGTCGAATTTTCTTTTCCTGATGCTTGCGGGACAGACATCGGGGCCTCTTCCGACGGTCGGCAGAGGATTTCGCGGCACATCGTACGTTGGAACTGTTTCGAGCATTGGGCATGCTTCAAATTCTGAGAAATTGGTTTCCACTCTTCTTGAACAACGGTCTTTTCTTCCAAGGCTACAGTCGATTGAGGAGCGGCTGTGTTCCGTTCTCTGGAATTCTTGGACACCGGGGCTGACACATCCACAACCCTCGGACGTTCGTCTGTCGTCGAGAAAAGTAATATTTCGTCCGGATTCTTGTCGTTTGGGCCGTTTATTTCCTTGCAACCTAAAAAAGACCCGTCGATGTTGACTGCAGTCTTGGTTTTGTGTCGTGATGCTCCTTCTTCCCAGATGGTACTGAACCGTTGCTTTCCAATCTCATCGGGCGAGTAATATCGACCGTGGCTGGGCTGTGGTTCTGAAGGATTTTCATCTGACCCTGTGCGAGACTCTTGGCCATCCAGATTGCCCGGTTTATTTCCCTGCGTTTCCAGTGCATCAGACGAATCTTCGGGGGTTCTAGTGCGCGGACTGGGTAGAGTTTCCGGATCCAGCATTGTCCCTCCTTGATTGTGAACTTGATCGATACTTTTTTGAAAATCGGTGATTTGTCGTGCAGTCATGACAGGTGGATTAGGCTCTTTAGCGGACGGCATGTTCACCACAAACCGGTCCTCCCAATCGGTCATCGAGCTGCTGGGGCCTGACAAAGGTGAGATGGAGGGACGAGAGATGATGGATGAGTCGGTTGTGCTAATTTGCTTGTCCGATGTTTGCCGGTTGATGGTGTCGCCGGTATCAATCACATTCGATGGGCGTTTTTTGGGGTCTGATTTTTTTGTTCTGAGAGATTCGCCTTGAGCAGCTGGCTTCGATGTCTGTCGATCTTTGGAGCTAGGACTTCCAGCGGCGGTCCTATGGATGGCACTTTGCCTTGGTGTTTTGTCATCGTCACTCGTCTTTGCAGCAGACTTCGGTATGTGTTGATTAGTCTCTTGTTTCGGGGGACTGGTGAACGACTTGATCTTCTCGTAAGCCTCGTGATAATACTCCTTGTGTTTGTCGCGGGTCCGTGACGAGGTAGGGGATTCCTTTTCGAATTTCTCTTTGACTTTTCTCCAGTACTGTTCTCGATCTTTTTCCGTTGACTTGGCAGGTCGACGCCCTAATGATATAGGGGAGGCCTTGGGCTGAGCTCGCCTGCCTAACGTATGGTGTCGATGTTCTTTACGATCGGGCACAGGAGAGGCATCTGCCGAGTCATCCTTGGCCTTTTCCGCAAACTTCTTGGGCATCGGGAGCCTGGTAGGGGTAACCTTCCGCGCTGATGTCTCGGGGCTGGACTTGGGATCCTTGACCTCTGGAAGGGGTTTATCTGGAAGAGGTTTGTCTATACGAGGTTTGTAGGCAGTGTACCCTGTCGCGGATTCTTTGCTTCGCTCGCATGCTGGCTGCTCCTCAGCACCGGATTTCGCGGGCCTGGGGTTTCGACTCCGGGGCTTTAGATTGAGTAAATGTCCATTTGGCAAAGAAATGCGTTCCTCCATGTTAATGATAACGAACATATGCTAGCACATAGAATTCTCGGGCCGGATTCGCAGTTGAATCGACCCATTACCTCCTAGGAGGACAGCTCGGCCCTGTGTTGTATGTCCTGTGGCACGCGTGGTTTGCACTCGGGTTTCACTTCCATATGACGAAGCTCAGGTGGTCAAGACATGGTACTTTGCTGGAGAAAGGGGGCACGTAGGAGTATTATTTTCTCCCCCAGCGACTATTTCAGCGAGAAAGGGATACCGGAATAATGATATGATTGGAATGTTATCGTGCACGCGGAGGAATGTATGGATCAACAAACGGAGTACCCGATCTGGAATGTATGACCCCGTTCGAAGTTGCTTGGTATGGCAGCTGCCCGCACCAGGTTTTGACCAGGGTTTTGCCGCTGTTTCGCGCGCAAGGGAGGTATGAGTAGAGTTCGCAGCTGCCATTTGAGCCCGCTCTTTCACAAGGTGTTGTACGAGGACGTCGGTCCAGAAGACACAACAAAATGCCGGGGAAACCGGGGCCAAGAAAGCCAACGTCTGGCCGAACGGTCGCAGTAAATTTTTAAACATATAATACAGTGGCTGGTCATGCTTCCATGCATTCCCGAGCTCATGGGGGGGTCAATCATTCACCCCAAACCCGGAAGCCAGGTCCAAGTCTTTGGGACAACCAGAAATTTATTGAAGAGGAAGAAAAGGAAAGTAAAAGTATTAAAACGCCGTGCTCCGATGCTAAGACGAGCCATAGTCTCAAGTCATATATGCGCTTGCAATAGGGTGATAATGCAGTTGCGCCTGAGGGTAATCCGGGCGGAGTGAATCAAAAAATGGCAATGATTCAATCGAGGACTAGAAGTATCCTGTGTCGCGGCGAGAATCAAGTTGACCCCGTCTCGGTGTCGGCGCAAGTGGACTCCCACCCGGCACGTTGCTCTTTTTGAGCGGACTGGATTGCCTCTTAATTGGACTAGCACCTCGGTCCTTGTAGAAGAAATCTCCGGTGCTTGGAGGTCGACGATCGAAATTCGTCGAAGTGGAAGTGGACTTCCTCAGAGGCGAGTTGGCATGTGAATAGATACCGAGACTACCACCGTCGCCGGTCGCCGAGGGAGTTTTGCGAAATTGAGGTTGGCGAATTGCAGATATAGGCTTTCGGACAACCGGCGAGGCGTCCCGTAGGTGACTGGGGGTTTGAAACGAGGCTTGATAATTTGAAGATGCGGAGGGCGTGGCGGCCATCGACTGACGCCCCGAAGACAGTCCCTCAGGGTCGACATGGCTGACATAGTTGGGGTTGGGACTGGTTTTGAATCCCCGCTGGATGATAAAGGTTGGAGTAAAGGTATCGACTTTGTTGCTTTTGGCATCCGAGCCAGACTTGGTAGCTTCTGCCTCCGAGAACTGCGTGGCGACATCTCGCATCAAAGGCTGGGTTCGGGGGTGCACATATTTAACATCATACTCTTTCATCACCTCCTTGTGTACCAGCGCGGAGTCCTTCGCTTGCTGAGTGAATGAGGACGACAAGAAGCTCATTTGCAGCGACAGCAAGGTGGTGAGGAGGATGGTCGTCACAATCGTCACACTCGGCCGAGGGTCAGATAGCTGGGTAGGTAGGAAAAGCCAGTATACGAGGACATGCGCGGGGCTGAAGAGACAAAATAGGCGCACACAGATCGGTAGGGGATCCCAGACCGCAAGTTCCCAGACATCGCACTGCGCATTCGGGTGTGCTCTCGACTGTGCGGAACCGGTGATGGCCTGGGCAAAGAATCGTAGGGGCGAAGCTGACACAGGAGTAGAATCGACGCGCACACGATGAGCGGACGGTGTCGCAGGAGCTTGGTCGATCGAGGCTTCGAACATGCGATAGTGTCGCTTGCGGTAGAAAGTGTAGAAAGTGTTAAATCCGACGAAGCATACGAGCAAATGAACAACAAAGGAGGCCTGCGATTGAAAAACCTGTTATTAACACTGATCGCTATGCAGGAGAGTCCATATGGAACATACAAGCCAGCTCATCCAAGGCGCACCCTCGTCATCGCCAAAGACATCGTCGACAGTGCGACTGCCACTCGACTGACTGTTGGCTCTCGCGACCAGGAACACAATATTCAAAATCACACCCAGGGTAATCGACCAGTTCTTCTCAAGCTGATCCCAATCATTAGCATCGATTTCTTCCGACAGCCACAGCAAAAAGTCCAGCGGATTCAAGTAGGATTTGATACGTTGCCCCAACGGTCGGCGGCGTACAAGCCGGGGCATGATGAAGACGGGGAGAGGTGGGGAGTGTAATATGGAATCCTGCGAGTGAGAGAAAGGTCAGTCATGCGAGGGAGAAAGAGAAATAAACACAACCAGAGTAGACTCACCTCAAGTTGTTATCGTTAATGACAGCGGCGAAAGTTTTTGGTCCCGCTTGTAAACAAAAGACAGCCCCGTTCGAAGACCCGCTTATCTAAGCCGATCGCACCCCCGTCAGTTATGACGACTCCCGATTAACTTAACGTTCGCAAGTGCTTCGAGTGATTCCTCTGGACCTTCCCTATTACTTCTTGTCATTATGGCGGCCTCCGCCGTGTCATTCAAGGTACCTACACCTCGATACTGTACCCTCAGGCGCTCCGCGGAGCGGACCACGACGCAGTAGCTGATTGTGTTCATTACAACGATATAGGAGCGACAGTTCCTTGCTGTCATTGGAGATGAAGAGTAAGGATCTATACCACTATGCTCTGAGACCGAACCTATGCTCACACCTTCTCCAGCTCGGTAACCGGTCTTCTTCTGGCCGGCATCGGTGTAAGTCCCATTCCCAGTGCAGCGGGGGACAGATCTTCCCTCTGCAGATGCTAACACAGTATGCAGCACGTCACAGATGGTCCAGATGCCGAGCGGAACTTCCTCGTGGTCGACTCTAAGACGGAAACCTCTGCGATCGAAAAGGCGTTCCAGAACTTTACTCAGGAGAGGAAGGACATTGCCATCGTCCTCATCAACCAACATGTACGTTTCTCGACATTTCTGGAGTTGATCGCAAGACTATACTCCTTACAAACTACTTTCGCACTATTTTCTCGTGGCTTTTACTGACTCTTCGCTACCAGGTCGCAGAGCGCATCCGACACAGCGTCGATACCTTCGCCGAGCCTTTCCCCGCCGTTCTCGAAATCCCCAGCAAAGACCACCCGTACGACCCCGAGAAAGACAGTGTGCTGAAGCGGGTGCGCCGGTTGTTTGGAGAATAAATGTTAGCGTTGTTTTCTATTTCTGCTGTCGATTTTACATGAAGGCATTAGCATGTCCAGTCGGGTACTGGGTACGTTGAGGGACAACTGTCACCCTGTTGCAAGATGCTGTCAAATGTAGTTTCTCCTTGGTGAGTCCGTTGGAGGTGAAGGGAAGATACCCAGTTTGGAGAAGTATACGCCATAGAACTCCTATACTTTGCCCAACTACGAGCCTATTCCAGTGGCGACTTAAACTGAACACTCCAACAGCTTCTATAAAGCCACATCGCATCCCGGCCATGAGAGAGAGAAAATTAGGGCTCTTAGTTTATGGATAATACACCAATGCAACGGGGTACTAGAGGGGAAGTATGTAATGAGTACAGATAGAGCATAATAAAGTAGCAATGTCCTGGGACAGATACCGTAAACGCCGTCCAGAGCAAAACATAGTTAGTCATCGCAGGGAAACCATCATGGAAACATGCAAGTTGGTGGGCGTAGGTAGAACAGATCACAAAGCAACAAAGCATATTCGCTGGGAAAAAAGAACGGAAGATCTCGTGTAGATGCGACATGAAGAGGTCGTAATGTGGACACAGTCCACGGCATTTCAAACCAGGGGTTTAATTGGAAAATGGCCATCGGTCGGCTTCATGTAGGTATAGCTGAAAGCAGCCAGCCGAATTGCCTAGCCTCCAATCTTGAACTCGATGTTATTGGCGTCGAGGCAGGTAATGCGCTTGTCGTCCTTGGTAAAGACATCGGCGTGCACGGAGTATTTGCCCTGTTAGTAGAGATGTTAGTTGTCCGTGCTTGATAGTAGCATAAAAGGGGTAAGGAACGTAACATACAGGAGGAATATGCGCAGGCAGATCAACATTCTTGGTGAAAGACATCTCGCCTTTTTCCAGTGGGCACTTGAGGTCCACATTGACGATTTGTTCGCAAAGATCAGCCTGCTGCTTGATTAGAGTGATCAGGCCATATTTGACCTGCAAAAGGACATAGGCGCCCTCTTCAATCGTCTCGCGGAAAGTGCCCGTGGCCTTGATGGTAAGGGTTTTGCCACTGCGAGCCGTCAGTCACCAAACCTCTTATCAGATCGAGTGTGGATTCATACGGGAGAGGGGGGTTGGGAGCCAAATCGACAGACTCAATCTTTACAAGGTCTCCAGCCGGATCGTTGCAGAAATCAAGAGGGTTGTCGCCGGGCACAGAGATAGCCTCCTCAACTTGGATAGGAGCCTGCGATGATCCAAAGAGGCCGATCGACCGACCCGATACGGTGAGAGGAGCGAAGCAGACCAGGAAGGTAGTGGCGGTTGATAAGAACTTCATGATGACGATGACAATAGTGGGAGTATTACTGATATTTCAAGACGAGAAAGGACGGACACTGGATAAACACGCCCTTGGAAACGGGTCGTGAATGAGAGTGTTCGATAATGGATGGAGAGAAAGGCAAGTGGAGGAGAAGCGGTCGGGTCCAGCGAGTCATGGGACGCTTTTGCTTTGCTTTGGCGGCGATGACGAACGGGGCTGGGCACACGTGACCGACGATCGGAACCATGTAACCTGGACACAGGGGCATGCAACTTTGCCCCTGTCCATGACTCTGTCAGGGACGCTCGTGTCTCTCAGACGGATGCACAGTACAATACTAATGTTGAACTTCAGGTTATGGGGTTGCATTTCACCACCGTGGAGATGGGACCCACCCGTCTTTCTACGGAATCACCTACGCTTACTATCAAAGGGGCAGAATCGGTAATTAGTGGTAGTTGCTATTCACTAGAACAGTGCTGGAACATATTTACACAATGAAATCCTCGTCGAATCATAAATACTTAGTGCTCCGAAACCCAGATACCGGCCATACCCATTCCCTAATTAGAATGTCAGTACGGGGACAAAACAGGGTCATCAATAAGGATCAACTTACCGTTCCAACGCACATAGAGGTGACAGCCACTCTCTTGTTCTGTCGGCGCAGCTCGGAGAGAGCAGTAACCGCCTGGCGGGCTCCAGTACATCCCAGCGGATGACCGATGGCACTACGGGAGTCAGCATATATACGTGCAGGGTTTAATGTCAATCGCGCAACTTACATGGCACCACCTCGGGGGTTCACCTTGGCCTCGTCAAGACCAAGCTTCTGCACGCAGTATGTGCCCTGGAAGATGTGTTAGAGGGCCGGGTGGAAATTCAGGGGAGTGATGGGGGCGTACCATAGAGGCAAATGCCTCGTTGATCTCGAAGATATCGATGTCGTCTTTGGACAATCCAAACTTGCCGAGGATCTTGGGGATAGCGATAGACGGGCCGATACCCATAATTCTGGGTTCCAAACCGGCAACGGTGGCTCCGCAGAACTTGGCCAGAATGGGCTGTCCCAGCTCCTGAGCACGCGATCGCTTCATGAGAATGAGACCGGCAGCGCCGTCGGTAATCTGACTGGCGTTTCCACCAGTAGTGGCACTGGGCTTCCACTGAGGGAAGGCCGAGCGAATCTTGCCGAGCGACTCAGCAGTGGTGCCGTAGCGAATGCCGTCGTCCCGGTCGACAACCACGTTCTTCACTTCACCGGTCTTGGGGTCCTTGATCTGGGTGTGCACGGGAACGATCTCCTCGTTCAACCAACCGGCCTTCTGCGCGTGCTCCGCCTTCTGGTAACTGTTGGCGGCGAATCGATCGAGCTGCTCCCGAGAGAGGTTGAATTGACCCGCAACGTTCTCGGAAGTCTGACCCATGGGCTGCTTGTTCTGAGACGCCAAGGGGTGCGACATGATCTTCTCGGACATATCCGGGGCGCCGCCGTCGGCATTGGTACTCATGCTTTCGGCGCCCACCGCGATACCGACGTCAATCGAGCCGGTGATGATCTGGTTGGCAATGTTCTGGACGGCCAGCAAGCCGGACGAGCAGAATCGGTTGGCGATGGAGGCGGCGGCGGTCACGGGGAAACCGGCCGCCAGCACGGCAGAGCGAGCGACGTAAGCCGAGCCGGGGCACAGCACGTTTCCGACGCAGACATCCTCGACGAGGTTGGGATCCAGATTCGAGCGTTCGCGGACAGACTATTGGCGGTTAGAAGGCTCGCAGCGAACCGCTTACGATTAAGAGCACGTACCGTCAGTAGCGACACGAGCAGCTCATCCAAGTTGGTATCTTTCAGACCACCTTTCCGAGCTTTCGTCAGGGGAGTGCGAACGGCCAGCGTGACGACCTGTTTTCGGAGAATTCATCAGCGATTATTGCGGGTATTTCAATAGACTCCAGTACATACCACATCGTCGGGATTCTTTGACAGGATGTTCTGCTTTGCGGCCCCAGGAGCGGAGAGCTGGCCCGCAATGGAGGACAAACGTTGCTGTGCTGAAGACATGGTGTCTGGATGTTTGTGTACGACCTACGAATTGTACCGAGGTCCAAGTTTATCTGCAAACTCGTAGAGCTTTCCGTTGATATATAGAGTCAGGTAGCTCTCCCCGCAATGAAGCACCGGTGGTGGTGGGATATATAGGCAAGACTGCGGACACAGGAATGATTAAACAGACGAAGATGCCGCGGTAAGTTTTTCTCAGGGTGAAGGAGAAGCAGAAACTGGAAAGGAAAAAAAGAAGAACCGAGAGAAGGCCACGGGCTGAGGAGACCGAGCCGAAGAATCGAACCCCCTTAAACCAATGAGGGGCCCGGTGCGCGCCCGATCGGATGCACATCAGTGGGACTCGCCTTTACCCAGGAAGTTCCTAGATTCGGCATCGCTCAGAGCCGGCCGCGGTGGTATCCTGCGGTAAGATACCGTCACCCTCCTCGGCCTCGGCTGTCGGTCCTCCTTAAACCCCGTGAAAAGATGTATGGTACGGTCACGGGATACTCGACCGGGTGGCTGCTTAGACTTTGTGGGGGGCCCACCCTGACCTTGCGGTAGAGACTGTAAGTTAAGGTAGACATGCTCATGGCCATGGCCCACGCTCTCTGCGTCTGGATGGAGTCGACAGGCTGCACGGTCTGGTTTCTTCCGAGGCACGGCTACCTTCAGTATTACTACCAGTTATTTTTACAGTAGCTGCTACATCAATGTTCCAATTCCGGTTACTACGGTGCACGGAGTAGTGCCGACGGCTGCTACTACTACTACCCACCGGGGTCCACGACTCGCCACGTTCCTATCGTCATCTTTCATTGTGGTACCTGGACTGTGTATGACTATGACACAGCGGATGGGAGCGTGAGGATCTGAACAATTCAATCAGAGGATCAGGTGAATAGCAGTAATCGTACCTTCAATCTTCATAATCATATAGTACATACGACCTATTAATACGTAGGGAGCTCGGACCGCCACGCGGAGATGGCCAAGTGGCCAGGCCTAGCGCCTCTCCCCCCCGTCGGATCCTCCCCCGGCATCGTAACCGTTGCGCCTGTCGCTCCCCCAGGCAGGGAGTCACTCGGTCTGCGTCATGGCCGGCAGATCATGGCCTGTCAGTTCCCGTTTTCAGGTCCCGATCCCCTCCACGCTGCTGACATCCCCGTATCGACTTCACTCTTCAGATCTGCCCTGCTCAGGACACTATTGGCTATTAGCGGATCCTGAGGATTGCGGTGTCCTATTTTAAACCATTCTCTCCGGCATACAATAGGGGTCACTCCGTATGGTTTAAATCCTTTGCTTGCGTAGCTTGTCCTCGTTCTTCCCTACGCTGAACAATCGCGTAATGGATATTCTATCGGATATCAGTGGCTCTTCCATGGCCGTCGCATCCGCTGTCTCCGTGGCTGCCGGCGCCTATCTGAATGCAAAATGGTCCATTTCGACCGATCTGTCTGCAATTCAAGATGATCGTTCCTTTGGCAAGCGGTTGGGTCAGCGCATCGCTCAGCTCGGCGACACGGCTACGACATACAAGTTGCTGGAACGGGTGGTGGACGTGGACGGACAGGGCTCGTCAGAGGCCCTCTGGTTCGAGCACAAGACCTGGACCTACAGTCAGCTAAAGGAGCGTGAGTATACTCCTTGTGTCTTCGGTGCAATTCACGGCGTTCGTATTTGCTGACTGTGTGTTCAGTTGTGGATCGATTTGCTGCGCTTCTTCATGGACGAGATATCAAATCCGGGGATTTCGTCGGGGTCTTCACCACCAATTCCCCCGAGATGGTCGTCACGATCTATGCGCTGGCGAAGCTTGGAGCGGTGGCTGCCCTCATCAATACCAATCTGCGCGGTATGTCCCTAAGTCGGAGTATATGGGAGCATACTAACAAGTAACAGACGACACTTTCGTCCATTGTCTCAATGTATCGGGTTCGAAATTCATCATCTCGACTCCGGACTTGTCACAGTTCGTGACGACCGACTTACCTCATATCACGATGAACATATCTTCCTTCGACGGCGTTTCTCCCGGCACGACAGAGCTTGTGACTGCCGCAGACCTGCAGCAGTTTTCGCCTGTCGGGCTCGCTGCTGCCAGGCGATCCCCCAGCGATCTCAACGTACTGATCTACACATCCGGCACGACAGGCAAACCCAAAGCCTGTGCCATCCGCAACATGCAGGCCATTGTGACATCCAACCCTCTCACCGTCGACTTCAACAATCCCTCAAAATACTACCCCCTCCGCACCTACTCCTCCCTGCCTCTCTTCCACGGCACCGCCTACTTCACCGGCATCTGCTACGCCGTCGGCAACGCCGGCACGCTATGCCTGCGTCGCAAATTCTCCGCATCCCAGTTCTGGAAAGACGTCCACGACTCCCGCGCCACGCGCATCCTCTACATCGGCGAACTCTGCCGCTACCTCCTCTCGACGCCCCCATCCCCCTACGACCGGAACCACGCCTGCATCGTGGCGAACGGCAACGGCCTCCGCGAAGAGATCTGGGACCGATTCCGCCAGCGCTTCGGCGTCCCCGAGATCCGCGAATTCTACCGCTCCACGGAGGGGGTGGCCAAATTCGACAACTTCGGCGACGGCGCCTGGGGCGTCGGCAAGATCGGGTTCTCGGGCCCCCTGCGCCGCCTCCTCGACGACGACGTCTTCATCGTCAAATACGACACCGACGCTGAACTGCCCTACCGGGACCCGGGCACGGGGTTCTGTGTCCGCGCCGCCCTCGGCGAGGAAGGCGAGGCGATCGGTCGTGTGCGGAATCGTGGCCTCCTCACGGAGTATCTGCATAATCAGGGCGCCACGGAGGGGAAGCTCCTGCGCGACGTGTTCCAGAAGGGTGATCTCTTCCAGCGCACGGGCGACCTCGTCGTTCGGGATTCGTCCGGGTGGGTCAAGTTCCAGGATCGCGTGGGGGATACGTTTCGCTGGAAGGGCGAGAATGTGAGTGCGGGGGAGGTCCGCGATCATATCTGTCGGATTCCGGGGGTGCATGATGCTGTGGTGTATGGTGTGAAGCTTAACAGGTTTACCTTCCCTTACTCATCTTTTCCTGGTGTTTTTCTCTAATCATGCTATGTATCCAGCTATGATGGCCAAGCCGGTGCAGCAGGCATCACACTTGAGGACGCATCCTCGGAGAGCACATTCATGACGAATCTCTACCGCGAGCTCAAAAAGAAGGGCGTTCCGTCGTATGCGCTTCCGCGACTTGTTCGCATCACCGAGAAGTAAGTATTCCTTTGCTATTTCCTTAGTCTCGCTCTTTCTGCCAACTACCCCCGTTTATAATGTTCTGGTCTAATATGAAATAGAGTCGCCACCGGCGTCACGTTCAAACAAGCCAAAGGCGATCTCGCGAAGAAGGGATGGGATCCGAGTAAGGACTGGAGCGGCGATAAGCTGTATTGGTTGAATGGGTCGCAATATGAGAAACTCGATCCGTCGGGTTGGTCGTCGATAGAGACGGGGCGGGCGAAGTTGTGATTTGTTTATTGTTGGTTGTGTGGTTGTTATATATAGGCAGACATGCATGGGGACTTTTGCATATACATATATTGGGAGATAGATGATACAGTTACTAGATTAGTAGGTAGACTCTATTAGAGAAGACGGTTTTGTATAATAATGAAATTGTAGTACTGTGCATGGTATAAACACTAGCTGAAGCTCCTTCTGAAGTATGTATCTCAATCCCGCCATGTTTATTTATCCTCCCACCAATACTAGTTAGTAGTTATGCACATTCATGACCCAAGAGCCGATCAATCATCATCCACCGCCTCTCTATTCTTCTGATCCCTCAAAAACGCCTCCTGCTCCTTCCGACTCTTCTCCAAATCCAACCAAATAACCAACACCGCAAAGCTCGCCACGCTCAACCCAAACAAAAAATAAAACGGCATCGAATTATTCCTCGACGGCGACGCATCAATAATAGCGCTGGATACAAGTGGGCCGATAAACGAGGACGTCTTCCCGATGATGCTGAACAGGCTGAAGAAGAGGAAGTCGTGGCCGCGGGGTGTCACTTCGGAGATCATGACTTGGGAATAGCTGTACCAGGGGCAGACGAAGAGGCCGTAGAAGGCTTGATAGAGCTTTTTATAGGGGCATATTAGTGGGTTTCTTGGAAATAGATGGTGAGGGAATGGTTTGGGGCTTACCCAGAATTCCCAAACATGGTGAAATCCGAATCGTTGGGTCCAGATACCGATCATGCCCCAACCATCTAGAAGGATGATTGCCATGGCGATGACATTGAACACGGTTTTTGTGCTGAGTTGGAATCGCTTTTGGCAGTACCAGAAGGAGTAGATGCCGACAGCCTGAGTGGATACTTGGTTAATGTGGTGTCAGGGCGAAGGAAGATCTGGCACTTGCCTGGGATGCGATGCCGACGATGAGCAAGTAGGTCAGATTCAAGGTGTTATAAGATGATACACTGTTCTGTAAGGTCGATATCACGGTCACCGTTGTGTTGAGGGAGTCGCCAAGAAGGAAGTATCCTTGGGAATATTAGCTTCTTTAGGATCTGAGGCAGCGAATAACTTAAGGCATCTCACCTAGAAGATATAGCAAGCTTTGCTTCAGTTTCCACACCTGCGTCAGAGCATGACGGAGCTGCTTCAATCCAGCCATCAAAATGTTATCGTCGCCCGGATCCTGTCCTAGTCGACGTTTCTCGAGAAAGAACCAAGGTAGAGACACCAACAGCCACACCCCCGTGGCAAAGGCAATAAGTACACTCAATCCCCAATTATTATTCTGCTCACTTTGATCCACTCGCAAACCGAACATGATCCCTACAATGATCGCGAGAATGAATATCTCCGCGACCGACTGGATGTAGAAGGAAATGTTGGCCAACCGACTGCGCTCCAAGCTATCGGCATAGTCATACTCGTCGCGCGAGATGTTTCCGGCAACGTAGTCCTCGGATTTTGCATACATAGCCTGGGTATTGCGCGCCAAACCGGGGAAGGCGGCCATCCAGAACGTCAGGGTCGTTTGGTAGGCGATCAATCCGACAATGTACAGTCCCACTCCGATGTGCCATTTATCCGCCGTGTGAACGCCCAGCCAGCCGAACCCAATTCCATAAGCAATGATTGACAACCCGATGAGGATATTCGGTCGCCATTTACCGAAATCGGCGAAACTGCCGATGACGAGGAAGACAACAACTTGGATGGCGAATGAGATACCGTTGCTGAGGAGAACAATACTATTGATGGAGCGTTCTCGGCCGGCGAAAAGAAGAGTTCCTCCATCCCCAGCAGCTTGATAGAGGAGGTTCTGGAAGGCAGTTGGGCCAAAGTCTAGAAAAACAGTCATTAACGATAATTTCCATGCAAGCAGGAACATCCCGCCATACTGAACAACGAGAGCCCATTATTTCCAATATAATAGCTGAATGAAGTGTTTAGTAGACATTCAGGCGGTTTATCAATGGACGCACGCATAATAGGCCCATATCTCCCATCTGGTGGTGCGATAATCCTGGTCAAAATGGTCGGGTGCTATTCGTGGCTCGACATCCTTGCGCTGGGTGACTTCATCCGTGCTTTGTCCCGGAGGCTTTGCATGCTCGGGGCTCTCTGGAGCCATGCTGGATTCTTGAGACATCACCGATCGATATGAAGTTCGACAATCCGATAATCCACCAAAAGAACCTAATTGCGACTGTACACCTAATCGGCGACCCTCACGGTGGGGGATCCAGCAAATAAATAGCCCCGCGCACACCGACCTGAGAGGCTAGCCCATGGCAGATTCGGATAATAAGATAGCGGCGGGGGGGGCAATATGCGACTAGTTGATCGTAGATGCATGCAATAGGCCCGATTCTCTGGCGTCCAACCAAGCTTGTCGATCGCGATGCTGACGCGAGAGTCGACGTTGCAATTCGTCGGAGCGGCAGAAACGAAAGCAGCCATCTTCGGCAGGTGTGCGCTGGGAACAAATGGCTGGAATGTGCGAAGCCCGCCGGATTTTATTGGAGGTTTTATTGTAATTTCTTCTTTTTCTTTGATGATAAATAATACATTCATTGATTGGGTTGAGGTTCATTTCAACGCAAGTTTTTGCTTTTACCCTTTCCACGTCGTCAAAAAGTTAAGGGGCACTAGAAAACTCCAGCCCATGCTATGCCTAAGCGCCTGATCTTGGAAAGATCTGAAGATATAAAACACAAGAACGGAATTCGAAACAATATAGAGAAACAAAAGGGGGAAGTAATCAAAGAATAGCAGCAAAAGAAGAAATGGGTCAGAGGGCCAATCGCTGAGATTAGGCTTCCTCGTCCGAGGCGTTCTCTTTCGACTTGCTCTTCTTCTTCTTCTTCTTTTCCTTCTTCTCGGATGCCTCTGCGGGATCCGCCTCGGCCTCGGCCTCGCGCTTGCGCTTCTTCTTCTCTTTCTTCTCTTTCTTCTCTTTCTTCTTCTCGGCAGCCTCGAGTTCCTCGGGCGGCACGAACGCCTTCTCCCGCTCCTTCATCTTCGCCTCGCGCTTCTCGCGCTGCTTCTCCATAACCTCCTCCTTCTGCTTGCGGTCCTTGGCCTCCTTCGACAGGAAGTATTCGCCCGACTCGATCTGCAGATCCACCTTGCTCTTCTCCGGCGCCGGAGGGAAAGGAGTATACACCTTCTTGGTCTTGTCGGTGACCTTGAACGGGGTGTGACGCTTGGACAGCGTGCGCTTCTTGAAGTTGGGTAGGAATCGGTCCCAGGATTCGTTGGCCAGTGTCGGGTCTTTGGCCAGCTCGCGCTTGATCATGAGCTCTTTGATGTGGTAGATCGGATGGATGTTGGCCATGCAGTCGTTCACAACCTTGCGAACCTCCTTCAGGCCCTTGAAGGGACCCATCGCCGCGACGGTGTTTCCTTGTACCAAAATGTAGGTGCTGGTCAGGAGCTCCAGAGCCTTCAGCGTGGAACCTTGGGGACCGAGAATACGCTGACGACGCTTAACGAATCGCTCCTTGTTGCGCACTTGGTTTCGGATCTTAATGACATCGCATGCCATGTCATCTTCGAGGATTTTGAGGGCCTAGTATTAGAGATGATTATCAGCGACTGTTCTTTTCCTGCAGAAACCTTAGTAGTAGGGATTGTTTGCAGTACTCACCTGCTGCACAGGTACACTTCGGGACAGCAACTTGATCAAATCGCGGGCCTTCAGGATGGAGGCCGGATCAAAAGTTTTCCTCGTCGTCTTGACGGTCATGCTACCCTCCACCAAATCCAGCGTGCAAGCGATTCCTTGTTTCTCTAGCGCTCTCGTAATAACAGGCCATGCCTCCTTCAGGTAGACTTCTCGGTATTTGGGGAAAAGAGTCGCGAACGAGGACTCTTCAGCGAAGTTGCCGGCAACATTATCATCGGGTTTGAACGGTTCGATCTAATCATAGGTTAGTGCAGGCTTTTTTTTTTTTTTTTTGCTTTGCCTTTCATCAAAGACATACCGCCCATTTATCGATGTCATCCGTATCCCACGGCTTCTCTCTCTTGTAGGTGGACGGCATGTTGGCTGATGGTCTCGCTGAGATGCGATGTTTGCCAAAGTCCGAACGGGCGGCAACTTTTTTTCTTTCTTTGAGAACCGCCGGCACTTACTGCTTCGGGTAATATTGCAGCCCGTTTTGTCAGGCACTAATAAGGCAATAAGGCAATAAGGCAATAAGGCATCAATCTACCCTCGATCTATATGGTGTAGGCATCAATGGACTAAATCTATGATAAGGTGAACCTCTTTTCTTCTGTACAGAATTTTAGTCCATATGTGGACTTGTCTACAAACAGGAAGGCCCCACCTCATTTACTCATGGGATATTCCGGCAACCCAATCACCCGCTCATACAGCTACTGTTAGAACCTTCTGGTTCCTTGTCCTAGTCCCCAAAATTTTTTAGTATAGTACATCAAGTTGCCCACTACAAGCCGCTTCTTCTTCACTCCACTGACATTACTATATATATGGAACTTCAGGCATCCTCATATCGAAAGTTGGTCCCAATAGTGAGGGTTTCATGTCTTCTATTTCCTCCATATATATCTTTCACCGGCTAGCATGTTGAATAGTCACAGCCCTTTACTATTAACTTTATTGGCTATCTAAACCCTCATCATTACGGGCCATACTATTCGACCCTTCCATACATATTTCGCAACAGGTTGAATCACACACATCACTCGTCGATGTTCCAGCTTTCCAAAGTGCAGCCAGACGTTGATAATGATAAATTTGTTCAGATCCCCTGCTCGGTGCCATGGGGCTAGATACTGATAGAAGGCACCCTCAGTTATACAAGATTCCATGGCACGTATCCTTTTCTCGGGTAATGGTTGAGTTGATACGTACTGTAGAATCCCACCAAAAGTAGTCTATAGAGAGTTGGTGTCAATTACCGTAGTAAGAACAAGACCGTACTTTTCTCTTGTCAACCACGGAAAGTGCATAGGAGGCTCCATGGTTCATACCGAACACAGGAGCTACTAATTGACAGGTCTTGCAGGCGAGCTTGAGCTTAGATGTATATACCGGGAAGTACACTTGGAGTATGAGCGGGAACTTCACAGGCATCTGTAGGAGCTGTATCGTAGGCCAGTAGGTTTCATTGATGCGGCGCCTGAGGCAGAAGAATAGCACGTGTCGTTGAGGAATGGGTGTGTAGATTCGAGGTCGCCCTCATCTGGGACCTCTTCTTTCTTTTTCCCCCCTGGCCCACAAGCTCTCATCGTCGCGTATGTATACATCCCTTTTCATCAGTTTCAATCTATCAATTGGATTGTATTCGATTATCATTATTTCTTTCAATTTCTCTTATTCCAATTGATTTTGTAGTTATGTCCCCCGCTGGCAAGTGAGCCGGCGTGGGCCTGTACCAGTTTTGCCCCAATATTATACTTCATTTATTTTCTATTCCTTATCTTTCTTAATCTAGTCTTTTATTGTTACAGACGTTGCTTTTATATTAATATTAGTCTTAACAAGAATCACACCCACTCGATACCAGTCTATTCATCGTTACGCTTTCCGGCAACGCCAACAAGATCACTTCCGCCAGCAATCTACCGTCGACCTCCTCAAGAAGGCCACCGCTGTGGCCAAGTTCCGTGCTCTCGAACCCGTTGTTATGGTTAGTCTGCTTCTCCCTCCTGATTGAAGTCAATTCTTTCGATTCATAAACCTTCGAGTCAAGAGTACTTTATATATCAAGATATTAATAGCTTATCTTAGTGTCAGCTGTGCAACGAGATTAGCGGTCTCCTCCACCCTACCGTAAATGCGGAGCCTGTCCCTGCGGCCGTTACTGCAGCCCTTGCGGCGCTTACCGCCGCCCTGAGCTCCGCTGCCGGCCCCGCTGCTGCCACCGAGGATGGCGTGTCTGCAAAGACCTTGAGAAACCGGCGCCGCCGGGCCTCTAAGGTATGATATTAAAATTTAGAGTATAATACACTAGTTTAAAATAGATAGCTAATGCATAGTTTAAAGATCGAGAAGCGTAAGGAAGCGAAGAAGGAGAAGGGGGAAGAGAAGGGGGAAGAGGAGGAAGACCTACTGATTAACTATGATATTATTGAATAGATATTCAATCAATCAAGAAATTTGAACAAGCATAATTATAATAGTGTATACTCCAAGATAGTAGATCTGTCTCCATAGAACAGGAGGACTTAATATATAACATTTCCCATCAGTCTCGGTCATATGCCAACCGTAGAAAAGCATACGCTATGAACCATTCACCTTGCTAAGAGAAGGAACTAAAAATAAATTTTCATAAGGATCTCTGCGAATTCACGAAACCAAGCCGCTGTAGGTTGGCCTCTTCACTTGATTTCTTGGTCTCTTCATTTTCCTCTCCTACATCCCTCTTCCCTATGACTTCCTGATCCTACATATTTTACTGGCTGTCCTGTTTTGACTTCAAGAGACCCTTTATTCTCACGAGATACACTCTATTCATTGTAAATAAGAGTGCAAAATTATCGCTTCGCCTCGACTTTCCAAAACCGTGACTTTCAACCGCACGAAATACAAACAAAACGACAGAATAAAAGTGTCAAATGATCCGCCTGTAGACTGGGTTTTTCAACAAATGGAATCAAACATACGAATTGTAAGTAGCGCCAAGGACAACTACATATGGTTGCTTCCGGGCCGTGGCTTTACAGCGATTTCTTACACATTACTATGCTGGCAGACAAAAATTGAGAAGCGCGGATTCTCGGAAATCTTATGGGCCTTTTTTGCCTATCTTTGAGATCCTATACGTTCTTTCGGGCCAGTATTGTATACATTCGAAGAAAAACTAGGGCAATTCAATATTTCCCACCCCAATCGGCAGTATGGTAAGCCTTGTTCCCCCCTCCGATTGAAGACAGTTCTTTCAAACTATAAGCGTTTCAAATCAGGAGCACTATATCCGAGATACTAATGGCTTATCTTAGTGTTATCTGTGCGCCGAATTTGTGAACCATGTCCATTCCTCCGCACACGCGGAGCCTGTCATGGGGTCTCAAAGAAGACCCTGAGGGCGAGAGAGCGCCGCATCTACGAAGTGTTATCCCAAGAGTCAGGGTACAATGATAGATCACGTCAATAAAGATGCCTAATGTATAGTATAATAGGTCGAGAAGCGTAAAGAGGCCAAAGCCAAGGAGGAGTCCGAGAAGGAGAATGAAAAGGAGAAAGAGGAGGGCCTAGGTTTTAGTCCATATATAGACGGTGTCGAGAAGTGGTTACAAAACTACATCTTAGTATTAATCAAGAATTTTAGTTAGAAAACGGAGGAGAAGACCGAGAAGGAGGAGGACGAGAAGGGCAACAAGCCCAAGGGAGAAGAAGACCGACCTGGCCGGTGATTTCGACATAGATATCAACGCGCCCATGGACCTTTTACCTGATAAGGGGTGCCCGTAATATCTCGGTTGAAGCTTCTTAAGTATCTTGAGACTAGGATCTAAACAATTCATCCCACTTAACCAAACATCGCCTCAACTCTCCCCCAGTATTCCCGCAACTGTTCGGGCCTCTGTTTCCTCAGGCTTATCTTCTGAGGGTTGTCGATGCGTCGGAGTTTTGGTCCGTCGTGAATGAAGCGCACGGAGTATTAATTGGCTCATGAAGTCGCTTTGTCAATGACCTTTCCTCAATAATACGTGTTACTCAAGAGATGTGCAACTGATGAAAGCTCTGTATCTCGACGACTTTGCTCCATGGGGAGGGAGAGGAAGGAGAGAGTCGGGGAGGGGCTCCCGATTGTTTTCCTTCCATCCTGCCCTGTCATGTGTCTATCCCCCCTTTTACTTTTGGTCTATGCCGGTTGCCTCTTCGATTTCAAAGGTCAATGGTTGGCGGCCTGAGGTGTCAACGACGAGAAGAGTTCTATCGGAGGGCAGAGGTTGCTTCGACTCTGTGATTATTCAACTAATTGAGATTATTATGTACCGTACGTACTGTGTAAACATGGTATATGGTATATCCATAGTTCGCACCTCAGGCAGCAAAAGTTTGTTGGTAGATCACAATTTTGAGCCAAATTGCATCTGATTGGAGCTGTAGCTATACAATGGTAAATGCAAACAATACAAACATTTTCGGTCTTGGCGGTTTATCTATTTTTTGCCTAGTGGGTAACCCGGAGGTGGAAGAGCGAGCCGGTCTTGTGTGGATGCTTTTACTCTGCAACAAACAATGCAAAATTCGATAAGTTCACGAGAGCTGTCCTGACAGTTCATTTGTAGGTCCCAATCGATTCACGGCGTTTCTTTTTTGCTTTTATTTTGTGTAGTTTATCTTTTCAATCCCCTGTGGAGTTTTCTACGTAAATTCTAGCTAGATACCTACTCTAATGTAGACAAATATATTTATAGTACTAATGTATGTATAGTACCTTCTCTGGCTGATATCACAAGACTCCCAGGTCTAAAGACGAATTATCGCGGGGCTGGTTATCTTGACGATCAAATCAATGGATTAAAATGTGGGGATTATCATAATGCAGAAATTTGTGGATGAAGAAGAGATCTTCTTCTTATGTGTCGCATATATGGAATGGTAAGCACACGGCGCATTGTTTGGTAGGTAGATTGCAACTTCAGGTATTCGGAACCTCCACATATTCGGTGGCCACCAAATATAAGAAATGCATCTATGAATGGCCATATTAATTTGAACAATCGCAATTACCTCCCCCTCCTGAAAGTATGAACCAATAAATAATGCGAGATGAACACAGCATCTACTATCTCCTTAACATGCGATCCCAGTACCCGACCAGCATATTGAAGATATTCAGTAGCCGGAGAAAGAGACTGAATGGTAGAGATATGCCTGGTCCATAATCGCTATGCCTTGGCCAGTCTTGTCGTAGAATTCGGCGTTACTCGGGGAACTTTTTAATTCTGTCTCGAGGTAAAGGAGCCTCGGAAGGAAAAAAGACGATCGATGAGCCTAGACCATTGCTAAGGCCTGAAACCGCTGTTGATCGGAGAAATGAATCGCGACCCTGGGGCAGCCTGTCGCCTAGATACTCCCCCTAGCAGGAGTTTGGCGAGGCCAGCGGCTCACTAGACCCACTAGACGGTTATATCATGGACGTTTCCCCATTCGCACGGCCCCGGTGTAGATGATGGCGCAACCGAAGGAAATTAGGAGGATCGATTGGAGTCAATTGGGGTCAATTGGTGGCAATTGGAGCATGCAAATTATCCAACATTTGCTTGACCGAAATCTATGTATCTCATTTCGATCCAAGAATCTGTAGATGGTCGTTCATCTGTCGTGGTGAGAGGGGGTTCTGCTCTGGAAGACTTTTGCCAAATTGAACGATGAGCGAACCTGTGAATCCCTTTATACACTGAGTAGTTCCTGTCCAGTCGTGGGATGAGGTTGTTGGTGGGAGTACGGAGTAGGCCCAGACGACGGGGGAAGTTTGGGTTGTTTAGGTATTGCTCGAGTCAGTCATGTCCCGTGAGTTTGGGTCCGTCCCGAGAAACGTTTCCCTTCTCGCTACCCCTTCACTCCTCCCTCCTTCTTCCTTACTCGCCTCGCCCTTCCCACCGTCTCTCCCTCCTGGCTTCGGGCGTCGACTTCGGCGGGTTATCATCTTGTACGGGTACTCCTCTGAACCTGACAGGCTCGTTAGCAGAACGACCCGCGAGATGGACGTCTTGTTTCATAACTTATCCACCCACTTTCGGGACTTATTGAAAGAATGGTACTAGCCTGTCACAGTGACCCTCCATGCCCTCTTTTGCTTCTGATGCCAGTGCCATTACAGCTTGAGCCGATGCTGAACTGCGAGTTTGCGAATGTCCGTGTGATCTATAATCGAAAGACGATCCATGCATTAGCGCGACTCCACGTGTTACCGGTCTAAACAGATTCGATTGCCCTGCCTTCGATTCCATCGTGCGTTTAGGACACCTGTTTGCGAGTCCCAGGAATATAACAATGATTCACACGGTCGTGGCGCTACTAGAAGGAGTCTGAGCAGTTTCGAATCAGGTTATTGTGCTCGATCAGTCTCTAACGAAGGACAGCCTCCGCCCACAATACTCATTGTGACATGGCCTGTGACACCATGATCGGGAAGGCTTATCTGCGAGTATAACACTCAAGCTGGAAATCAAAAAATCTTTTTGCAATTGATGATGAATTAGCTGGTTGAGGCACTTAGGTTTCCAAATCCATGGTATCTAAACTGAGAATGAGAAACACTGTGGCCCAACTAGCCTAGTCAGATCAATGATCGCCTAGACCCCGGACATCGAACAAAATGCCGGCATTCCAACCCTCTCGCGCGCTTCAACTTGTTTCCTCAGCGGGTCTTTCGTCCGATACAAACATACCTAAGACATGAGCATATTGCGAGAAGCGCTGCGTTTAGATGACTCACAATGGAAAGTACGCTTTCAGACCAACGGTATCAGCCTCTTGTCGTGCGCGTGCGATTAAATCCTCGAATCGGTCCAAAGTCATATTCAGCTTCTGAGTAAAGGGGTAAAGTGCCAATGTTGAAAACAGTCTTTGTGTATTTCCACGATTCATTTCGCCGATATTCTGCATCCGTGGATCTGCTCGGCTGTCAATGGATCATTTATCACGAGGTTGTGTCCTTGCCATGAAGGCTTACCATTGGACCATGGACTCAAAGGAAGTGGGATCATCCTCGCATCGACCTCCTGTAGCCCTTCGGCAGCCAGAAGGGTTCTCAGCCTTGTACCTACGCGGAGGTCCTTTGTCTCTTCGAGAGACCCCATGAGCTGAGAACTCCACTGCCTCAACGCGTTCTGCTCTGTGATCGAGCCATTATCGGATTGGACGTTGAAATATATCTCGATTAACTGTACCCAGCCTCCCGGTTTAAGGACTCTGTACGAGTCTGAGGTCAGCCCACGATGGCGCGACACGATCCCATTCGAACACTAGACCTTTTCATATCCCTGATATAAGACGGCCACCGCTCTTTGTTGATTCCTGTCGCAAGCATTCTCGAGTGCACAAGGTCGAAATGGTTAGAGGGGAAGGTAAACGGACGGTTCAAATCATCGACCTATGTGATTATCAGTTAGCGATATCATCTAATGGCTGCCTATCGCTCTTTCAGGAACAAACGAGGCATGTCATAAGCAAGAAGACATCCTTGTTGGCAACCAATGTTGCCACCACACCCCCGAAGGCACCGGTGAAAAATATCTCGACTTACCTGTAACCACAGATTCTCCGGGATATCGTCTGAGTTGGCATGAGGGAATATGTCCAGACCGATGACCTGTTGGGTTGTGCCGATGAGCAAATCTGCGTCTTTTCATATTGTCACAGCTTGGGTTTTTTTTACCTCGCAGTCTGGGTACTGCTCCGCAACTTCGATGGCCCATGATCCGGTGCCGTAACCACAGTCGAGAATCTGTTGAGGCCGAGGGATCGGCGGAAAAATCAAGCGGTTGTCAAAAACCCGGTTGAAAATCCGGTGTTGAAGATCGAGGCGTTCCGCTTCCTCCTGGTGGACACAGTCATCAGTTAGGGGCTGACAGGGTTGCTCATCTGAACTTACTTCGTCCACCGGCCGAAAGGATATTTGGTGATCGATGGAGTATCTTTGATATTCACGTCGATGGATGGTAACCGTCTCGCGGTATATGTCGTCTAATTCCTCGGTTTGCGAATCAGGGCTCCTTGACGATCAAAGAAAACCAGTCAGTTTCTATCCTTTGCCCATGGCTCGTTGTCAGGCTTGGTACGTCATTTTAGTTCTGAGTTGGACGTGTGTCTTCCCCAAATGTTATGTCGGTACGAATCAATAACAACGTTCAGAGGCCACGGAGAGGTCTCATGACCGAGTGTCTCTTTATATGGTTGACAATAGACAGGGGACTGATTATATTGTGGGCACGGGGATCGGTTTCTTCGAAGCGATCGATCGATGCGGCACAAGAATTTTGGCGACGGTAAAAGTACTGCCGGGCACGAGCAGGCGAATACAATGCCCTCCATAGAAGACTGGAGTAATTTCTATGCGGGACTCAACGTTCGTACTAAAATGTGCGGACGGTAGGAAATTCCGCTCAGCCCAGGTTTTGTCTGGCTTCTGAAAGGAGCAGACAAATCATTGGCAGAAAAAAGGCCCTGAAACACCCCTCCAGAAAACCAAACAGCAACAAGAATGGTCAAACTCGAGCGAGGGACGTCTGCCTTCTGCACTACGCTGCATCCCACGGTCCGCTAGGGCAATGACCATGCCCACTGATCAAAAAAGAAATACGCGTTCACCTTCTGGAACTCCCATGATTACATCGAAGCAGTTTGCAGGGGAGGAGGGGTCACTCGGTGGTGCCTTCCGGAGGGGCCCCGATACCGACGGATTTCGACATAGGACTAGACTTTACCAGGGGGATTGGACTTCACCCGCTAAGTCTGTCAGGACGAGACGGCGTCTCACAATGGACGATTCGCCCTTCTTCCCCCTCATTTTACCTCTCAGCCTGAGTCGGCTCCTTGGGACGCCAGATGTATGCTTGTTGGCTGGCTCATTTGTGTGGACCGAGAGGGAAGGGTGTGGTGTTAGCACTAGACTCAGCTCGTGTCTACAGAAATTTCTAGATCCCTACGCTTCACAAACCAAGCCCGAGGACTGCAGCAACCCGAAATTTACCTAAGCCCTAGGCCTATGCATAACCATATTGCATATCCAGAACGACGATATGCAAGCCTCCCATTGGCATTCCGGTTGATTTGCGCTGATGTAATGGTACTTTTTGGATGTGCACGCTCATAGGAGCGAAAGGCCTAGCGAACGGGGAACAAAGGGCTTACAAAGTTGGGTGTTGACACAAAACTCCGTCCCTCGTCAAGAGGCGCAAAAATTTGTCCAACTAAGGAGTCGGTCGAAGTTAGAGCCAATGCGTTCCCCGCCGTCATACAGTGTGCATCGTGCAACCTCTATTGCCTCTAGGAAGGACTTGAATGACATCGTCAGTCTATACTAGCCTGGTCTCACTGTTGAGTTCTTCGATCCCCTCTCGATCGCAAGAACGAACCCCTCAGATACTGCAGTCAATGACGGCATTGCGAGATGAATGAGGTGTGGGGGGCCGCTGATGGCCGGTGGCTTGGAATGCAAAGAGGTAAGAAAGGGATCAACAGGGCAATACGGAGTATATCGGCCTGGCTAAATTTCTAGTGGCTCCTTCAAAATTGCGGCGTGCTTGGTCCTCAATTTCCCCTTTGCCTTTCCCTTTCCCTTTTTCCTTTTCTTTTTTCTTTTTCATTATTTTTTCGTGACTTCTTAATGGTCTCCTCTCTCTGCCTATTAGCTGGCACCCACCCCCTTCTCACCGCTCCTTTCATTGTCGTCGTCGCTCTACGGAGTAAGCTAAGAGCCCCTGGAATGGGTCATGGTCCCAATCAAGAATAGCAGACGCGTTTGGTATATGACTGTTATTATCGGCCGACCAATAATGTCATGCTTTTATGGAAGACTCATTTGATCGAGGCAAGATGCGCGAGTGACGTTCGGGAAGCCTGAACAATCGTGGAGCCTTGGATGGAGCCCGAATTTTGTGCGAGCGGATCCTGTCAACCGCTCGACGTCATCAGCCCGGCAAACAGTCGCGAGATGATGAAAATTGTAGGCGCAGGTGACCACGGAGTCCAGCAAGCCAAGCAGAAAGGGATGAGGAGCGGACTATCTAATGTACCTCGCCGCATCCATCCAACCCCCTCGAGAGTGGAGATGCATCCTTGTTTCGCATCCATGCGCTAAGGGGGATAAGCGAGATTTTCGCGGCGTCTTGCCCTCAAACATCACGCATGCATGTTGACAGGGAAGTCATGCATGTCTACCACGTCAGACGCCGGATCGAATTATCAGCATCCAAACTACCGGGTCTCAGGTTGAAAGCAAAGCATGGACACGGGGCAGATTGGCAGCGAACCCAGAGCCATGGTTCACCTTCGGCAACAGAGTTGACGCCGGAGACTACGGCGGTTAGGCCCGCTAGTGTGGCTATAGCCCGAACCCACCTGCAGCAAACACGAGGTATGCTTGACGATGGCGAGAGATTTTCTCGTGCAGCCAGCATTGGGAGAACCTTCCTTAACGTCACCGCTACTGCAGATTTCTGTCAACCGCTTGTGACTTGAGGGGTGATTGTATTCATCCATACTATACAAACTCGCAGGTTGACCTCATGGTCTCCTGTCGATTCATCTCTACGTTGCCTTTCATTTGTGTCCATCATCTAGGACAAAACTCACCCTAGGTCCTCCGACCCCGTCATGTACCCCACACTGGCCTTGACAACCTCCATGACGAAAGACACCTCAGCCTCGGTGCGAGGTGCATAGATCAGAACATACTCCGATGGGAGCTCTAAAGTCCGGCCCGTTATAGCCTTGGGAACCGAGGCCCCAGACAACGAATGACGCTGACCCCAGCCAGCGTCAAAGACTTTTTTGCCTGGTAATGGAAAGAAAAGAGAAAGAGGGATTAGCTGGGTTAGTTTGTGGCGACAGGTGTCCCTAGAACACCCTCCTAACAAGTGAAGGAATGAACTTACAATCTGCCGGTGCTAGCGTCACATGAAGTGAACCATCCTTCAAACGGTGGATATGAGCAATCTCGCGATTGGTCTTCTCCGCCGGCAAAGTACTCGCAAGTCCATCGGCAACGAATAATGCATCTGCGTGTAGTTCCAGCCCCGAAGGTGCCAGTTTCACGAGATGCGAGTTTCGAGTCGCGAAAGACTCGAGCTCTTCAACGAGTTTCTGACCAATTTTGCGTTAGTATGCCTTTTTAATATCTCTTTTTGCGGCCGTCTACAGAATGACTTGGTCTCGTGCCTCTCGCCTCAGGCCAAGCAAAGCATGATATATACCTTCTGCATTTCCTTGGACGCAAACTCATCCAGTTGTCTCTGTGGCACGATATGCGGTCCAACCTTGGGTCTTCCGCCCTCTCTATGGCTCAGTTCCTTCTCTCCGGGCAGGTAACTTGTGCTCTCTCCGTCTTTGATTTTCCGGGTATAGACATCCGTTGAAAACATCTCTCGTTTGAAGGGGCGCATTGCCACGCGCACGCCAAACCACCCGATCACATTGTGTGGGCTGCCACCGGGGCCATAGGAAATGTAGGTTCGGTAGTCGCGATAAGCCAGGACGATCAAAGTGACTGAGAGAGCGGAAAGGAGAATCTTCGGCGCGGATGTGATTGTTAGATTGGAGGTGGCGGGGAAAGAAGGAAGATGGGAGGTGATTAACGAGACGGATTGCGGGAGGGAGGGCATTTTTGATAGTATAAGGATCCTTTGTAGAACGTGTAAGTACACCGAGGGGCAGGCAGGTGAGAAAGATCGTAAAATGGAACGACGTAAGCAAGGGAGAGTAAGCTTTAAGTACGAACGCGAACAGCTTTGAAACAAAGAGAAAAATGACGCACCACCGACCGGGGCATTCGGGAATAAGCAACGACAAATGATACGACTCCAACGCTGTTGGTTGATTCTGAATGTAAGATTTTGTGGTCCGAGAATCCATGCACCTATAGTTAAGATCTCTGCCTCGTATTGCATTGATTGTGAATTTTCATTCCATACTCCACGCCAGGGTATTATCCTATACCTTATAACTCTCTGCCTGTGCCTGTGCCTACACCGGATAACTATCGCATAACAATTTCAAAAGCAAACAATCAATCAATCAATCAACCTCCGGTTTTCTGATAATGCCATGCTATAATGGGATGAAGAAATACAAGAACCTGCCTGCCATGCTCCGTGCGCTGTCCGAGACTCCGAGGGTAGAAAATGAGATTGTTAAGATAGGGAGGGACCTGATGGATATATTGATGCTTTATGTGAAGGGGGAATGTAGAGATGTCTTAGTTCCGATTCCCATAGGACGAAATCGAAATTCGACAATAAGGGGGATGGCCGAATTCGTCAAGTTCACTAGTCGACATGCAGGGGCTTTCAGACAGGACCGTCTTCTTTGGTGATTGAGTTCAAGACGTGTGCCAGCTTGAGCAGGACGACACTTTCTGTCGCGGCGTAGTAATTGAGACTAGATAAGTAGGTCATTAGTTAGCGTAGTTCCGGTGTGGTGATATCGGGGGTCAAAAGAGCTAAATTACCTGTCCATCAAGATCCGCAGGTGGCGGGTGAAATGATCCTCGTATCGCTTGAGACTCTCTTCGAGTTTGGCTATACGCGTTGGATCATATCCTCGCGGATCAGAGCCGGGGACCTTACCGGCTAGATCGGGGTCAGTTAAGTAGAGCCCTCGTCCGACTGCCGACGAAGCCCAGCTTGTGTACATGTTGCAGCACATCAGAATCTTGGAGTGAATCTATAACACATGGTTAAAAGCGTGCAAAAAAAAAAGTTTCAGCTCTACGTGACATACCTTGAGCAGCTTTGCCTGTGTAAGCATGCATTCCTTCAGACAAGTATCTAAGAAGTCGACGTGGTCCTGCATCAGCTCATCCACAGTCCGGTTGGCTTGTTTGATACCATTCACGGTCACTTCGGACCCCTGCGCATCGGCCCCGTTCACTCGGTCCATTAGGTTCTGCCAGTTGGGTTCGATCACCTCTGCCGTGCAGAAGTACAGCAGTTGTTGTACAAAGATAAGCATTTTCGAGCGCAGACTCCACGCCCGGCGCTTCCAGACCTCCACCCGTCGGTCCGAAGATTTATGTCGCCAGCTAGTAGACTTGCTCTGGTCGAGCCAGCAACCAACAAGTAAATTTTCATGGTGGCGGAGAGATAGGAGGTGTCGGAAAATGAGTTGGTATCGGAGCACGGTCTTGCGACTGATAACAAGGGATAAGGGGAAGGGGACCGAGTAATCAAATTCCAGGGCCTCAAACCCGATGATGTTCTTATCATCTTCGACATGTGATTGGGGAACCTGCATCCCTGCCTCGGGATTGTCTTGATCAATGCCGGAGACACTCACCACCTGCATCAACCACTTCGTAAGTCCGATTTTATTCATCCGAACCTTGACATCTTCCTTGAACGGATCCTGGGCCGCGATACTGCCCGGTTGCCGAAGCACTAGATCGAGAAGTGATTGTAGTTTAGGCACATTGACCGCGTGAGCAGGTCGGCGCAATTCAGGTCCGCCAATCTCGAGGAAGAAGGAAAAGTAATCGGAGCGGTCGAGGAAAAAATAGTGTTTGAGAGAGCGGAAGCGGGTAGTGAGCGAGTTTTTGGTGAGAAGGAGGTTTAACAGCGATGCGTTGGCATAGGTATAGGCGGCGTTCACGTTGTCCAGGAATCGGGGATCGTCGAGTGTTTTGGGTACATCCTTGACCTCTTTGCTCACATCGACACCACCACATTCTCGGACGACATTCAGGTATTTTCCAGCTAGGAGGACTTTGTCCCGCACACTATCCAGTTGAGGCGGAACCTCATTGTCGCGAATCGTGTACCGTTTCTCCCAGTATTCGTCCGTATAATCTTCCTCGATCTTCTCCCGCTTGATCCACTTTTGCTCTTTGACAAGGAACTCGGCGTGAGGGTCTTTGATCCCTCCATGATGTAACCACTCGTTTAGCATCGTCATATAGGGTCGACTCGCATCACGAAGCAGCCGCTCTAAAAGAGCCTTGCTGGTTGGGTCCCCAGAATACGTAGCCAATCGCTCCGTGAGGAGCCGTAGCACATTACCACCCTTGCATATCTTCTTGCTCGACATAGCACCGGGGACCAAGTCTCCACCTTCTTTGAGCTGCTCCAAAATGTTATCCACGTCGTCAAAATCATCGATCGACTCGTCCAGATCTTGGTCCAAAAGCCCATTTCGGCGGAGCAGTTCCTGGCCCATGGAATAGAGTTGAGCGAGGCATTGGCTGGTTGGCATGGTATGTAGGTGGAGGAGTTGCAGAGTGAAACTGGGGTTGTTAAGAAGCTGGCTCTCAAGTTGCGCAATGAGAATCAAGTAGTCCTTCAAGATTTTGCGAATCGCAGCACACAAAGCATGGCTGACTGCTCCAAATTCTGCACGACTTTGGACCTCCACAAATGCTTCCAACGCACTATAATGCGTCGCCATCTTCAACATCGACAGCGTCAGGTCTCTCAAGGTTGGATCCAATCCCGAAGGTAGCTGGAAAACGGGGCCAGTTAAGCGGTCCTTTTCCACAGCAGGGTCGTAATTGCTATGATAGTGGATGTACTGGCCCTCAAATCCCATAAACACGAATAACAAATCGTCTAGTAAAGCCTTCTCTTGCACATCAACGGAATGTTCTCGGAGCGGCGTGGGTTGAAGCGACTGAGGCAGCGTGGAGGCCAACGGGGCAACCGATACTCGCGTCGCCAAAGGCGCGGTGGAATGGGGCATCAGGGAGGCATGAGGATTCCAGGGTACTATTATGATATCACAGCTAGTCAGTATTTGCGATTTTGGGTGGTGTTGTTAAAGATAAAGGGATGGCTACGGACCCTCCTCCGGTTCCTTCTCTTGATTCCGAGTTTGAGAAGTCGCAATATCCCCCTGCACGCCTCTCTTTGACCGTGATCTCTCCCATTCTCCCCTGTTCCCAGCACTCGAAGACTCCTTGACCGGGTTTCGAGTTCGAGTCTGCGACCGTTCCTTCGAGTGGATCGTCATTCGTTCGGAGCGTTTCTCGCTGGCCATGTTCTGTTGTTCGCGAGGAATTCTATTCTTCTGGCTGGACGTACTACCTCGGTGGTCTGCGTTTTCTGGTTGCAATGGGGAGGCGCCGCTGCGCAGAGCGTGTCGCTCGGCATCACCTACGCGATTGGACGCAACGCGGGGTCGGGGAGCGTTCATGTGGCTGGCGCGACGGTCATTGACGGACATGGTCCCGCGAGGTAAAGAGGAGAGGACCAATCATGCAACATGGGCCGAGATTGGCGGAGTTGGGTAACGGGGGTCGAGGGAAAACGAGGAATTTGGGGAAGAAAAGTATACAATCGACTGCGGGCGTCACGTCGCGGAGGAGCGAAGGTCGGCGGGTAAGGCATTTGATGCCTGACGGCCTGAGGCGGCGTCTCCGCCAGGCACTCAGCGGACTTGCGTAGACTGACGACGGGAGCTTCGCCCGAGCTGCACCAAGAACAAGCTGCTCACACCTTCTCCGTTCTCTCCAATTCAACTCGCTTTCATCCCCCTCGCTGTCCCCCGGACCCCCTCTTTTCCCTTTCAGAATCACCTGTGAATCGTCATCGTATCTCATAGCCCGCCAACATGTTCATCGCACGATCGGAATATGGTAAGCTTCATGACGACCTCTCCCCTCTAATGCGGTCTATTCTATCTAACAACGATGCTCAACAGACCGTGGAATCAAGTACGACCCCTGACCTCTTTCTTATACTTACCGCAATACTCGTCGCTCTTCGGTTCTCTGACAGTGATTTTCTTACAGCACCTTCTCCCCGGAGGGGCGTTTGTTCCAAGTCGAATACTCTCTCGAAGCTATCAAACTGGGCTCAACAGCGATCGGTGTATGTGCATCCATCCTTTCCAGCATCCCAGATTGAATCTGTGGCCCTCCCCATGCAGTCATTTCATATATTCTCCCGGAAATCCCGCCACAGCTTCTTCTAACCCCCAAGAATAGGTCGCAACGTCAGAAGGTGTCATCCTGGGCGTTGAGAAGCGTGTCACATCCACCCTCCTCGAGGCTTCTTCCGTCGAAAAGATTGTCGAGATCGACCAGCACATTGGCTGTGCCATGTCTGGTTTGCAGGCCGATGCCCGTAACCTTGTCGAGCATGCTCGTGTCGAATGCCAGAACCACGCCTTCCACTACGCCGAGCCGCTGAGAGTCGAGAGCTGCACCCAGGCCATCTGTGACCTGGCCCTGCGATTCGGAGAGACTGGTGATGACGAGGAGAGTGTCATGAGTCGACCTTTCGGTGTTGCCTTGTTAATTGCGGGCTTTGACGAGGATGGCCCTCAGCTGTACGTTGACTTCAGTCGTTACTGCCATTTTCTATCTTTGCGCTCACGTCTCCCCGACCCCCACCCCACACATTCACACATTACACCGTTTACTAATTTATCACTACCGTTAGATATCATGCCGAGCCGTCCGGTACGTTCTACCGATACGATGCGAAGGCCATTGGATCCGGAAGCGAGGGTGCGCAGGCAGAGTTGCAGAATGAATACCACCGCTCTTTGACGCTCACCGAGGCGGAGACCCTGGTCCTGAAGACGCTGAAGCAGGTCATGGAGGAGAAGCTGGACGCGAAGAATGTGCAGCTGGCCAGTGTGACCAAGGAGAAGGGCTTCCGCATCTACAACGACGAAGAAATGGGCAGCGCCGTTGCGCGGTTGGGCGAAAACCAATAAACGAGGACTGAAATTAATGCGCAAGACTTGTGACGGGCTGATGTGGGATGTTTAGGACTCTTTCGTCCTTATTTCAAGGTCGTGTATCTGTTTTGAAATCGAATAGAAAATTACAATGGCCCCATTTAATGATCTGATATTTCATTGATGAACTTTTAATGCTGAGGAACTAACAAATTTTCCTGCGGGCGAGATACAGCTAACGGTGGCTTATATGTACAACAGGTTATAGGTGATTAGACAACTCCGGTGGTCTACCGGATTTTATACACGCAGGGCTTAAGAGCCGCGGCCTCTTCCTCCGGGGACATGCTGGCAGCTTGCGAAGGTTTCTCGATGAACCTCTTCTTTCCCGGACCGGGTTTGGTTCCACCGATGGAGGCATATTTGCCCTTGGTCGGCGCACCGCCCTGTTTGATGAATTCCATCTTCACAAACATCTTGTTCGACTTGTCCACGGTCTCGGACTTGAGAATGAAACCGCGACTCCGGAATACCTCGACAAATGTCGAAATGTCGGTGTCATCGTCTTGCTTGGGCTGAGCATCCTCGGCAAAGACGTCGGCGTCATCCACATCCGACCCGTCGTCGTCGCCATCTTGCTTCTTCTTCAGTTTCTTCTTCTCCGACTTGCTGAGCGGCTTCCGGGCGCCGATTTGCGCCTTCTTCCGCGTCACTTTGCCGAATCGACTCTTGACTTCACTGACCCAGCACTCACCCTTGCCGTCACTGCGCAGCACCCGCCAGGCTTCTTCCACAAAAGAGACCCAGTTGGTTCCCATCAGACTGAGACAGAAGATGGCCACATCGACGGAGCCGTCCTCAACGGGCAGGTTGGAGATATCAGCCTTAGTGATGGGTGATCCCTCGGGAGCGTGGAGATCGTAGCTTGAAAGCTTCAGGTTCAGCTTCTTCGCCGAAGGGATCATGGCGTGCGCGAGCTGGGCATCACCGCAGCCAAGGTCAGCGATCGTGCAAGCTCCGTTAGGTCGCCGAGGCAAAGGCTGGGGACCTCTGCTCTTGTTGTCCGGCTTGTTTCCTCTCTTAGGAGGGGATCCTTTCCCTCTGCTGCGAATAGCCGCAATGTAACCGTCAACCGGGTTGGAGGGCCAGGACTCCTTCACCTGGCGCGAGAAGCCGGCGTGGTATTCGTCAAACAGCTCGGGGTTGGAGGTGAAGAGTTCCAGAGCTTGCGCGGAGGGAGTGGTATAGAGGGTTTCGTTCAGGTGACGGAAACGAGACGAGATCAGTTTTTGGCGCATGGCTTGCTGCAGAGGCGTGAGAATAGCTTCGGTCTTGGGAGGAGCCACAGGAAGAGAGTTCGTGGTTGCGGAGGCATCCTTGGAGACGGTCTTATCCTCTTCTCCATTGGCCTTTTGCTCGTCCTTGTTCTTGTTCTTCTTCTGCTTCTTGTTGGCCCTCTTTCCTTCGTTCGCGCCAGTCTCGTTCTCCTGGTCTTGCTTGGGTTCCTGTTTATCTTCCTGCTTCGCTGGGCTCTGTGGCTTTTCTCCCTTGGGTTTCTGGCCCTGCTTCTTCTTCTCAGCCTTCAGGGCCCATGGTGTATTTAGCGGAGCTTCGATGTGCCGACGGTACATCTGATCGACATTTCTCTTGGTCACATGGTCCTCTCTCTTCCGTTTGTTGGATTTATCATTAGGTTTGTTCGACCCATTGGCCTGCTGAGCCTTCTGACTGGGTTGTTCGGATTGCTGCGCGAGGCCGGAGCTGGCAACCGACCAACCTGGAACGGCGAACATGATGTCGGATTGCTAGGAAGTTCGACGCGCGGCTTGTGATGTTATTTTTAAGCGGTCCAGAAGACAGTTGAGAAAAAACCAAAAAAGCTTAAACGAAATAGATTTGGAAAGCCACTCGCACCAGGTCGAAAGTCTCGGGTTGGCGCCAGCGAAAAAAAATCAGGCAAAGGCGGGTTTCCATGGGAAATTTCAGCCCGTGGTGGCTTTCTGCCGGACTTTTCTCACGGGCGGTCAGGCGGTGCTTATGGCGGGTCTCTCTTGTTGGTTGGGAGTTGCTTACCGACTGCGATTTACACATTAGCTTATTGAATTGGCTACACTAGCTCGTGTGCTGAAACAGATCGTCTATTTTCCTCTTCAGGTCTGTCATCCATGAACACCATAAGGAGAGGTGAAAAAAGAAAAGTGGTTGCAGATCCCCTTGGCTGAAGAAACTGTGGCAAACGTCAGACTGACGGGCGAGCTGAAATATTCCATTCCTTGGCTTGGCCCCCAAGATCGAGTCGCATGGTCAGAAGACGCCGTCTACAGCTTCATCTATCGATGTCGAACTCTAAAGTTCTCGAGACAAAAAAGGGAGTCTAGGCCAGCAAACTCAGATGGCAAACTTACCTCGAATCCAGACATCCAGTCCCAAAGATCCAGGACGGACTACCCAGTCGGAGCCGATGACAAAGGACAAGAACGGTGGGGAAATGGGGACTTCTGGCTGCCGACTGTAAGCCAATCAAGGATCATCCCCGGGTGAGTCTGGGCCTAAAAACAATGTATTTTTGGTGCGACGAACACACCATCGTTCCCAATCTGCCCCCCGCCTGCTAAGCCGCGCAATGATGGCTTTCTCTTAAAGTCTTCGTCATTCCCACGCCATGCTCGGTTGATTTGGCTCGCACGATGAAATTCTCGTCTCGACTGGTTCCTGATCTGCTGTGATGGGAAACCCAAATCTAATCAGTGGCCCCGGGGAGGATCTGGGTCCCGAAGCTGATGTCTCGGCCCCGGACCGTCAACAAGAGGAGACCACCACAGACTCAGCAGCAAATAGTGCGGAGGCGCAAAAAATTCCAAAAAAACGCACTAAAACGGGATGTCTAAGTATGTTTACTGATGTTTTTGAATCGTATTTCAATAAAAACACCCATTAATCATACTACAGCCTGTCGGCAGCGACGCATCAAATGCGGGGAGGAGAAGCCTATATGCAACAACTGTGTTAGATCTAAGCGAGAATGTAAGGGATATGCTCAGCGCTTGATCTTCAAGAATCCACTTGGAATTTCCGGGTCCTCGAGCGCGCAGGGGACACATACCCAACTGCCGCCAGCACCTGCCAACCTACCACTCCCGAGCGGCTACGATGCTCCCGTATTCTCTCAACAGAGACCAGCGGGCACGCACCGTCCTGTATTGGCTCCGAGACCAATTCCACTCTCTACATTAAAACAGGCGCAATTATCCGCAGCTACTCCATCGCAACAAGGAGGATTCCGGGAGGCGGACGCTTTGCCCTTGTATTATCATCCTGTTCATGGCCAGGGCCCATCCGTATCTGACCCTTCGACTGCGCAACGAGCTGAGCCAGTTTATCACGAAGCACCGCAAGAATTACCAGTCACCATTGGGGGAACTTACCAGCAGCATCCAACGGGGGCTGATATACAAGGTCATTCTACACAGTATAACCTTAGCGGAAGTCAAAGCACCAGTGGCTGGGTTGCTACCTATGGTACTAATAACCCTTACGATGGGCACCCAAGAAATCCTATGGCGGCACCAGGTGGCTCTGGATTTTCACAGGTACAGCGCGAACTACCATTTCCAAGACGTCTTTATCTTCATGGAAATACTAATTAAATGGTAGAACTCGGATGTCGCATCACAACCTGGCTTTCCACACTCGGGGACAAGTCAAACTCAGCATCAGCCACATAGTTACCAACCAACGTCTACATCATTGTCACCGTCCCAGTATGACGACGAAGGTGATGATTACTACGACGTCGAGTCAGATGAAGAACTGGAAGATCCCACTACCGCTGAGAACTTCAACCAGCTTAGCCTGATCATGGCCTCTGCGAACCGGGATCAAAGGCAGCTCCGATCGTTCACTACCTATCTGAACGAGCCCAATCTCCTCGCCTCGTACTACCCCACTCTTGGCTCTTCGCCTCTAAACAATCCCAAAACCGCGCGAATATTTCTGCATTTCATCCACTCCACGGGGCCTACTTTGTCAGTCTTTGAAAGGCACCCGGTCGATCCCTCTACTATGTTTGGCGCACCCGTGTCGCCAGCACAGCAAGGTTTGTGGACATATACCTTACCTTTCAAAGCGTTGGAGCACCAAGCCTTGCTGCAAACCATACTTGCCGTCAGTAGTTTGCACATCGCGTACCTACAACAAGCTCCGCCGACGCTCTCTTTGAGACACTATCACTTTGCACTCAAAAGGGTCGGCGTGGCTGTGGGATTACCCACGCGTCGTAAGCAAATTGGAACTCTGGCCGCCGCACTGCTCCTAGCATACTACGAGGTCATGAGTGCGGAACATTACCGGTGGAATAGCCACATCGCTGGCTCTGCCCAGTTGATACGCGAGATTGATTTCGCCGGCCTAACTCGGGACCTTCGTGCGCATCGGCGCAGGGTAAAGGCACAGCGAAAGCCAAGGGGCCCGGGGTTATCGTTTCAGCAAGCATTCTTGTTCGGAAGCGCCGCAAACGATGACGACCCATTCTGCGAGAAAGAAAGTAGCATCAATGAGGACCTCATAGGATCCTTTGTCGGTCGAGCTGTCAATTACGATGAATTCGGGCAAATCGAAGATGGTCCAGGCAAACCTCGTCAGAAACACTTCACTCGGAAAGATATCGAAGCCTTTCGGATTCAGTGTGATCTCTATTGGTGGTATTGTAAACAAGATATGCTCCAGAGCCTTATCAGTGGCAGTGGACTGTTGTAAGTGTTGCACACATACGTGGAGATCCTTGTAAGCGGATCCATCAACTGACAACAAGGTAGTCTGCCCTTTTCTCAATGGAATCAATGCCCACCTCGTGCAGGTATCGGTCGCTTGGATGCTGTTTATGGCTCGGCAGATCACTTGTGGCTTCTGCTGGGTCGATTGACTGACTTCGGACGTCGCGATAGAAAAAGAAAGTTAAAAGTCGCTAGAGCTACTGGGACTGACTGGAAACCTGATGCCGGGCTCTTCAAGTTCATGGCTAGATTTGTTGCGGCACCCCTCGGTATGCAAAGGGGGCCTCCCCCAGATGCTCCATCGGGCACTCCTGCCGCTGGTGACCCTCGTGCTTCTCCCGGTTCGTGTGAATCTCGTGCCCAACCCGCCAACATCACCGCCGCCCGGCCTGGCCAGCACCGTGGAGGAAGCCCGGAAAGCGGAGGTCCTCCCATGTACGGCATGGTACCGCCTAGCGGACCGAGACACATTCCCGCTGCTTTCGCTGACACGGCAGCTCGACCTGACTATCCCACTCAAGGGGTGGAAGAAGACGAGTCTGGATCGTATGGCGAGGCCGAATCCGAGTGGGAGAGCATTCTGGCCGCGTTTGACACCTTTGCAAAAGTGATAGGGCCCCATTTCATGCCGCTACCGTCCGACAGTGCTCCACCAATCTCCACCCCGTTCGGTCCAGCCCTTCAGTACCGCACGCAAACGATTGCGGTAGTGTGGGGATTCTACTATACGGGCCTCATGCTTCTGTATCGATTGCACCCATGCATGCCGCCTGCAATGATGGTTGCAGCAGGCGTAGCGGCGCCTGCAACTGCCAAGTACGCGCAGATCGTCGGACAGGTCGCGGCCGGCATTTACTATCCACAGATCCTCAATAGCGAAGTAGGTCGTCTGAGTCCTACTCTCGGTTCCTGCCTGATCGAGATGACCGTGCCTCTCTTCTTCGCCGGCGTGCAGTACATGGAGGCCGCCCATCGGCAATGGATCGTCACTACGCTCCACAAGGTTTCCCGTCTAACCGGATGGAAATCGTCCGACGCCGTGGCCAACGGATGTGAACACGCATGGACGATGGCCGCGAAACAGGGACGAGGTCCCCCGTATCAGCGCCGAGACCCAAGCTCCTACGAGCCTTCCCCGATCTGGACGCACCAGCCAGCAAACGACAACCCGGAGAGGCGATTTGTCACGCTTCCGGAACCCGTTCGGTCTAATTGGGCGATGGGGATTCTAAGTCTAGAAGACGATCTGCTAAATTTGGAGATAGCAGATCGCATGTAAATAGACAGCAACAACACCAACGTCCCCCGGCAGGGCTCCGTTGGCAAGAGGGGCCCGTGGCAATCGGGCTTTCTGTGAGAATAAGATAGAGACCTTCTGATCGCTCGCAAAAGAAAAAAACAAAAAAGAAAAGAAAAAGTTTTCACGGGTGTCCAAATCATATGGACACGCCCAAATTCGCTATCATCTGATGTAGAGTTTATAGGCAGGGATTCTAGACCGTAGGTGACTCCTTTAGGGGTCCCAGCTGTGGATGCCGATCATCATGCAGGAATTCCAAGACAATCAGACCAGTTGCGGTTTTGCTTTTTCTGGTGCTGACCTGGCTTGCTGCTTCACATCTGTAACAGAGTTCCATCAGACTCACCAGTACAACATCGCCCATCTGCGGCGGTGTCCCCTGGTCCGGACGATGTGGGGATCTCGGGGTTTGGCAACCAGTGGGCAGCAGTGACTCGGCCGTAGGGTACACATGGAGGCGTCTGGGTGCGAACACATGGCACCGCAGATCAACGGTCCCCTTGCAGACCGGAACCCGCCTTCCTGAAGCATCCTTTCACCTTGGACTTGTAAACTCTCCAGGTCGACGGTGACCTGTAGCCTCCTCGCCAGCGTCGTTTGGGACCACTTGGTCCGAATTCAATGCTCGAGCTGCATTCCTTAGCGCTTGTCTAGCACCGACCAGTCGCGCGTATGGCCACGGCCTTTTCGCAATCGCGTACGGCGCATCGGTCTTATGTCTTAAACACCAATGCCTGCCCAACCGCGCGCGCGTCCGTGGGGCTGGGGTGGAGATCTTGGTTGACAGGCGAACATATGCATGGGATTGGGTAGCAGCATCTAGACTGCCAGATCCGCGATGGCAGCGACTGGACCAGATGGGCCAGACAGGCCAGGTCGATGAGCTGATGCGAGCTGAAGGGACCAGGCGCTCGGAGACAGGCGAGACGAAGCGAGACAGATCGGATCGACGCACACAAGCAGAATTTCGGGGGTTGACGAAGCCAGAGCCAAGCGACGATCCGTGGCGAAAGGAGGAAGCATTGGTGCAACGAGGCGTCTGCTTCACCACTTTCTGTTTCGTTACGCCCGGCAGCGGTGGCGCCCCGGCCTGAGGCAGGCCCTGGTACCATCCTTACCATCCTTACCGTATGGCCCTCGTCCCGCCGACGTCATTCAGGCATCCTTTTTTTTTCTTTTCTATTTTCCTCTTCTTCTTCTTTCCCTTCTTATATCTCCCGCTCTCGACGGTCGGTCGGTCGGATTTCTCCTCTGTCTAGCTCTGTCTTTCCTCCCATTCCATTCTATAATCTATAATCCTCTGTCCTCTCTTATCCACGGTTCCACTGTACATACCAACCAGTGTACCCCTACCTACATCCCCCACCACCAACGGCCCGTCCAATACCAAAAAGTCACCCGCTGTCGTCATCCACGGTTCGCTCCAAAAGTCACCCGGGCACATGTCTCGATACGACGACTATCGCCGTTCTACCGGCCACCTGGAGCATGACGCCGACCGTTGGGACGCCGACCGTTTCTCGCGTGAGCGTCACGAACGTCTGCACTCGCGCGGTCCCCCCGTGCTCGAACGACCCCGCCGCGTGGAAGATGACCGCTTCGAATACCGCATGCAAGACACTGATCGATATGGCCCTCCTGCCCGCCGGTCGGACAGGTTCTACGAAGATGACCATCTCGTCCATACTTCGGGCCCACTCGTAACCTACGACCGTCGACGAGACAGTCCCCCGCCTCGACCCCGTCTTATGCGACGCCAATCGTCCTTGGACACCTTCGATCGCATCCCCTCGCGCAAACTAGAAGAGTATTACTACCACGATCCCCCTGCTCGCGCTCCGGTCCGTCCTCCCCGCGAATCGGATTATTATGAAGAGATTCGCGTCGCGGACCCCGATCACTACGGCGACGAAGAATACCATGAGCGTGAGCGTGAGCGCGATCGCTTCAGGGACCGTCCCCGCCGCTCCACCAGCCGATTCCCAACGCGGGCCGTTGAGGAAGTCGAGATCGAAAAGCCATACCCTCGAAAGGGCAAGACTCGGATGCCTCGAAAGCTAGTCCACCCCGCGGCCGTTCGTGAGTTTGGTTACCCATACCAGGATGAAGTATGTCATACATCGCGTCAGATCTCACCGGGTATTTGGAAGCTGACCGGCCGTTAAAACAGGGTGATATGGTCATTATTCAGGTCGCGCTCTCCAAGGAGCAAATCGACGATGTCATCAGCCGCAGTCGCCAGATGAAACACCGGACTGGTGGTAAGTGACCACGTGCCCCCCCCTCTCGGAGGAAGAAGGTCGCCAATGTTAACGGTTCTTCTCAGCACATATAATAGAGTCTTCGCCGTCCCCCGTTCGCGAGCGACGCCGGGATAGACCAGTGGAGAAACTCGCCATGGAACCTTATACTCCTAAGAACCACCATCACACAATGCTCATCGAGCCCGCGTCGTCGTCTTCCTCTAGACACCGATCGCACTCTCGCCATCCCCGCAATTATGACCTCTCCGAGAAGCGGACGACCAGGACTGTCTCCCGCACCCGATCCATCTCGGTGCACGGTCGTCATCGTCGCCGGTCCTCGCCGGTGCGCATTCGCCATGACATGGAATCCGACCACGTTAACGCCGGGCCGCTCGCCATTATGATCCGGCCTCGCGACAGCGACGAGGATCTGCGCGAATACCTGCCGCTGGAGCGACGGAGTCGGAGTCGGGGAGAAGTTATCCGAGACACGGAATTCATCAATGGCGATGGCGACCGCGAGGAGATCACCGAAGTGAAGAGGGACCGCAAGGGTAAGGTCATACGATTCGATCGATCATAAACCGCAGATGCTAATTTGACACCATTCAGGCCCCAACTCCCGTATCGTCCGTGCCATGATGGCTACTCTGACTTAGAGGTCTGGTCTGGCCGACTACCTCTGTTCGTTCTTTTGAATTCTGACGCGCTACGAATCATTGATGGTAATTTGATCTGATGACTTTCGGTATTTTGATTTTGTCTCTTCTGGTTACTGGTTATCTACATGTAATATATCGGATCAGCAGGCCTGTGATTATCTTTTCTTTTCTTACTGATTTGCCGTGGTTTTGGATCTATTTATCGAGTATATTGCTCTTCTTAATCGGTACTTAGTATGAGAATGTCTAGTCTAGATATATATCCTTGATGCTTTTATCAGAGTCTGTTGCGCGTACTAAATCTATCATAGTTCGTATGATGATCGTCTACTATAGTTGAAGGATTTACCGTAAACATGTTTAGTTGATAACAAATCAATTCCTAAAGGTCTTTGTAGTCATTTCTTCTTTCATGAAGAATGCTTGGACAGATGATCTACTCAGTGAAGGAAGTATGACCGGGACGTCACAACCTGTGGCGGTGCGGAACGTGTGCACCGCCACGGATGAACGGGGCCTTGGCGAGGCGGTGCGTGGCCTCGACTCCGCTCCTGCCACCTCCCTAACCCAAACAATAACTAATCATTCCGACTGACAGATTGCCATTTGAAACTCACGATCCCTTCCTTTTCTCCGCATCTTACAGAAACCGCAAACTGTATTGCTCGCCACCATGGATAAGTTTCAGGCGTTCGGAAAGAACCTGAGGTGAGTTCTCCCCTGACAGTTAATTGCACTGCCTATTTTCTACTATTTCCAGTCTCATCTCAATCCTCCCCTCCTTTCACCTGCTTGAACCACCCCCGCCCTCCTGCTGACATGTTTCTAATACCTTATTGCTCTGCGAGACAGTGCGAACTTTTCGCCCTTTGCTGCGCGCACGCAGCAGATGATCAAAGAGCAGCTGGGCCAGGCCGAAGACCGCACCCAACTCCCCGATGAGTACATCGAGCTCGAGAAGCGCGTGGATGCGCTGAAGCTGGTCCACCAGAAGCTTCTTCAGGTGACGTAAGTTTTCTATTCTTTGTAGAGGGAGAACTTCCTCGCACTGGAATTGAAGATCTGCGGAACCAATCCCACTTACCTTTCCTTCTTTCTCCCCCAATAGCTCCCAGTACTCCAACGAAGCTTACGACTACCCCCCCAACATCCGCGAATCCTTCAACGACCTCGGCCGCACCATCAGCGAGAAGGTCCAGCTTCTCTCCCAGGCCGCCTCCCCCGCCGAGGCGCAGGCCGCGCTGTCCGCTCCCCCCGTCGACAAGCCGCAGCCCAAGACCTTCAACCACGCCATTGCCCGCGCCTCGCTGTCGGGGTCCCAGACGCTGGCGCAGAACTCCACTACCGGCGAAGATCCCCTGGCCTCGGCGCTGGAGAAGTACGCCCTCGCGTCGGAGAAGGTCGGCGAGGCCCGTCTGTCGCAGGACGCGCAGATCCAGTCGCGCTTCCTGGCTGGATGGAACACCACGCTGAACACGAACCTGATGTTTGCGGCTAAGGCCCGGCGCAACGTCGAGAATGCCCGTCTTATGCTGGACTCGGTCAAGGCGAGCAAGAAGGCCCAGGCCAGAGGTGATCTGGACAACCTGAGCGAGGAGGCTCGTGCCGAGATCGAGCAGGCCGAGGATGAGTTCGTCGGTCAGACCGAGGAGGCTGTCAGCGTGATGAAAAATGTAAGTCTGCGTGGGATGATAGTGGGGAATTGCGTTTTGCTGACTATCTCTCGTCAAGGTCCTCGATACCCCCGAGCCCTTGAGAAACCTAGCGGACTTGATCGCCGCACAGCTAGAGTTCCACAAGCGGGCATATGAGATTCTCAGTGAGCTGGCTCCTGTGGTCGATGGCTTGCAGGTTGAGCAAGAGGTATGATTGCATAATGGGCATGGGATTGAGGCAACGCTAACACGATACTATCTAGGCCAGCTACCGCAAGAGCCGTGAGGGAGCTTAAGTCCTGACTTCGGTCTCCTCTGTTTCCTTTATGCCCTGATTCATTTTGATCTGTTGCCGCTCTGCCTGTCTGTCTGTCTACCAGCTAGTCTTCCTACGATTTCCCCTGTTGCACTTGTGAAACAGATGTTTTTATGTCCCGGTGGAAGATGTGTAGTCTGCATGCCGTAGTCAATCCGTCCACGTAAGCCAATACCGTACCGTAAAATACATCCGCACCGCCACAGCGGCAGAATGACACCTCGCAGCCTGAGGCAGCCAGCCACCTAAGTCCACTCCGCCCAAAGCTCCGCGACCTGCTCCCGTGGATAGTTATCATCCCGGCGACCTTCCTGCTCGCGGTGGCACTTTCGCAACAACGGCACTTGAATTCGCTCACCCGATCCCTCGCTTCTTTTGCAATATCTCTTCCTGAACCGGACCCGCGTCGATACCCGACCCCGTACCTGAACTTCACCCTGTTAGTTACCGTGACCCTCCCAACCGATTGCGACTGGCATTACCTACCTAGCCAGCTTGCGTTGCTCCGCTGGGTTCGAATCTCGTTGACAGAGTCGAATTTAGTTAATCAGGACAAGTCACGGCACACTTAGCACGCGAAGAACAAGCCATACGCACACCGAGAACGACGGAAAGACCGAGAGCACAGAAGGCTGGACCTACAACTGTGTCGTTTCTAGAATCGAAGCTTCACCATCCCCGAATCGATCATAGCATACACTACGGAGTCTTGATATCGAAGACCGGAGACCGGAGACGCCATACCCATCTATTTACTTATTCAAGAGGACGAGAATCAACGCAGAAAGAAAGTCAGGAGGATAATCAACATGGCTAACGGGTGCGTCCCTCTCTCCATCTCTCGTCCCTCATATCGAATGCCTCGCCCCGTTTCGTCGGATTCGGTTTATGTTCACGTTCAATGCGCTTCTGAGTCGGCGATATCATGAACTACATACTCTCAGATACCGAGACATAGGACGGAACCCTGAACTGGCCATCGAAATAAACCTAGTGGAGATTTAATGCTAACCGATGTCCTTGCCGTATTCCAGGTGGAGTCTTGTCATCGGCCTGGTCATCATCGTGATCGCATCCGTCCTGGCCTGGGTGTTTAGTCCCAAGGGGGAGAATCAGACGTGCGTTTTCTTTCCCCCCTCCCTTCACCATGCGCTATTACCGTTTCGTTCAGAAATGAGGCCCCGACAATGAAGCGAAAGACGCGCAAAGAGAGAGAGAAATGAAGAGAAAACAGTATTAACACGATTCCCTGAATACAGTGTATTCCGAAGCACGCTGATCCTATCGTTCGTCTCGTGTTATCTTATGTGGGGTACGTTATCTATCTATTTCCCTCCCCTCTCTTTCCCCTCTGATATATAAGTTTCGGTTTCATGTTTGGTTGGTTTGCTGGCTGGTTGGCTAACATTCTTGATTTCACTTGTCTAGCGATCGTATTCATGGCCCAATGGCACCCTCTTATCACGCCAAAGAGATCGAATATTAGACCCGAGCGGGTACCGCAGTGATTGATCTCTCTCGTTTCTTGTTTGTTGGATTCGTTGGACGCTGTGTGGATGTGAGAGATAGAGATAAGGGGTGCTATTATATTGTTTATTAAACCGAGTGGAGGGGCTCAGGGAGAAGAGGGAGGAGACATTCGAGTTTTGTTTGGCTTGGTTTGGGCTGAGCGAGCGAGTGCTACTGTCATATCTAGCATACCTACCAACCTACCTGATGGGGGTTTCTATTTTATACCTTTTCTTTTCTTCTGTCTTCGCACGTTCCGTCCGGTATTTATGTATAATCTTAGTTCCATGTCTAGAGTTGATTTTTATCTTGACTTTTGATATCTCTCGGTCCTTGTGCACATTGTAGCGATATATGTACCTATCTGATTAAACCAATTATGTAGTATCAATTAAGTGTGCTCTGTATTAAACAATAGAGATGGCAAACTAGTTAGCCAACCCCCACAACCCCCAAAATAACCTTCTGCACCGTCCACCTCGCCAAAAGTCCCGTAACAGCCAACGCCATCGCACGAAGATATCCACACCCTAGCAGAATATACAGTGCCTCGATATTACTCAGCAGCACGAGATGCGTATCCGCCGCGCCCAGCGACAGCAGCGATCCGACCAGCTCGATCACATTGGCTAGGTAGTTTGTAGGTATCGAGGTGGGCATCAAATGGACCAGACTCTCTAAGAGCGTCGGCGACTCTGATGTTCCGGACGAGGCGGTTGTCGCGGAGGGAGTCAGGCTGTTCAGTGCTTGGGTGGGGAAGTTTGGGGAGGGGGTGAATTGGCTGGTTTCGAGCGCGAGGGCGTGGGATGACTCTGATGCGTTATTGTTGTTGCTGCTGCTGCCGCCGCCATCTGGTCCCCAGATGACGAGTAGAATAGGGAAGAGTTTCACGCAGCTGCTGACGAGCAGGGCGGTGCTGATGGCGGTGGGACTTGCGGGTGATGGGGGCGGTAGGGGCTGGATATTTTGCGTGGGAGCCGTGGAAGCACGACGGAGGGGTGGTGGAGGATGGGCGTAGTGCGCTGGCGGTGGAGGATTGGAGTTGGGAGTCGGGGTGTTGTCGCCTGTGCTGGTGGCGGCAGAAGCACCGTTCGTCGACGAACCATCCACGGCCGACGATTGCGAGTGCAGGCGAGGTGGGCTCAGGGCCGACGTCGACGTGGGCGATAACTGCGATTGAGCGCCTGCAGCCTGTGCGGGAAAGGAGGGAAAGACAGGTGTCGACGGGTGGGATGGTGTGTCGGTCGTGCTGTTGCCGCTGCTCTGGCCATTCTGCTCTAGCCCCCTAGGGACCGGGGCGAGGATGGAGGCCAGCAACCGGATGGTCAGATGATGAGCGAGCGTGGCGAGGGTGTTTAGGCCTAGGAAGAAGAAGTATTGGATGACGATGGGGGCGCGCGCGAGGAACGTTGTGGATAGGGTCTGGGTCTTCTCGATGCGTGCCCACGTCAGGTAGACGTCGAATAGGAGGAGGAGAACGCCGAGACGAACAATCGAGCGCTGCGTGGTCATGGATAGGTCAGTTCCTGCGCGACAGATATCCTGAAGAGCTTTGGACTTACATCGAACTGGTTATCGTCGCCTCCGAGTCGGTTGAATAGGAGGTGTCGGTATACCTGGAAAGGTCAGACACGGGCCTAGTTCGGAACCTGTAACACTCCAATATTCCGGCATACCTGAGGCTTGATCAGGACAAGGTCTATGAAGATGACAACAAAGTCATATTCGACGTATTTGTCGGCGAATCGCTGGCAGCGCGGGCATTGCGTCAGGCGCACGCCTTTGCCCAACGACCGGTCATCTGCGCGACTGTAGGTGCTGTACAGATGCGAGACAGGATAGGAGCATTCGATGCAGATGGGCATCGCGTTATGGACCGGCTTTCATAGCAGGCTCCATGCTTCTAATGAATGGAGATAAGTAGATGAATGACGCTTGGCGATGGACGGAGAATGAGAGAATGCCGAAGGCGGTGAGTGGGACTCAACGGTCTATAAAAATCACTATGGATAGATCGCTTCGCTATATACACATATGCCCGAACTATTCAAGAAGCACTTTTTCTTTTCTTTATAGACATCCAGTAATAAGCAAGAGAACTTGGGTACCCCCCTCAATCAACCACCCCGGTGTCATCAGCCCAGCTGGGTTCGATGCCACGACACACGCCCTCGTAATCGCGGAAGAGTTGCGAGTTCTCCGGCAATCCGGGGGTTGTCCAAAACATGGTCCAATTGGTGTCGGCCAACTTCCACGTTCCCTCGGAGCGCTCGAAATACCATTTGTTCACCGGGTTGTCCTTGCGGCTGCGCCAGCACACCCCTTGAGGGAAACATGTCCGGACCATCGCATTGAACACAATATCCGCCACGCCTCCTGCACCCTGACTGCGTTTCAGAACCGCAAATTTGTCCAAGTATGGGACCATGCGAGCCTGACTCGCTTCACTTCCGTCATCCACCACACCCGGGGGAAGCTCCCAGGTTAAGATAGCACCCCCTTCATACTCTCCGGCGATGATCAATCCGGCGAGGCGATCGTTGACTCGGTTCAAGTAGTCCTGGACATCGAGGTTGCGGTTGAATGAATCTTCGATCAGACGCACCAAGCGTGGCAGGTCAATGCTGGGGTCGTCCAGGCTCAATCGAGGGCGATTCTGCGCAGTCCACACCTCCACTCGCGGATCAGGGATCATGGTAAGTGGCATGCCTCGCTTGACAAAGGTCGTGTGTAAGCTAGGTGTAAAGATGCTTCCCCGTCCGCCATTAATCGCTTCACGTCTGCTCATAGGTAGAGAAGATGACAGTAAAGGCTTGTCGGTAAGCAAATTATGGATCAGCGGGTTCCGTTGTCGTCGAGTGCCCACCGCGGACAGTGCCGGTGCAGCCTGCGGTGATCGGGCCGAGTTAGCGACTTCAGCCGGCGAAGTAATGATACCGGACGATGCCGCGGGTAGCAAAGCGAGGGTCTTCTGGGATAGGCGCAGGTTGTGCAGATGATCGTCAATAAGGCTACCTTGTTCTGGAGTACGCTTAATGACTCCACCTGTGGGCTCTGCCTGTGTTGAGCTAGGCCCTGTCGCTGCCGACTGCTGGGCTTGAAGTAACTGAGTTTCAATATCGTCGAATTCCTGCTCCATATTGATGAACACATGAGAGGTTTGCGGGCCACTGAAAGCAGGAATGCCTCCAAGAGGGTCCAGTAGAATCACCCGATCTAGCGAGACTTCCTGCTGCAACCTTTTGATATTTTGGGCCGTGAGCAAAGGGTCTTCATCGGGATGCGGGACGCTTGCAAGACCGGCAAGCTCTTTGGTAAGGGCGAGGAGAGCATCCTCGCCCGATAACGTCACCGCTCGAGGGACATCTTCCGTGTAGGCGATGGGGGCGATGATGACTGTGTGCCCGTCTCGGAGAGGTTTCAAAAGAGCCTTCCGTGATAGGACCGTTGGGGTATCCGGGGTCTTGGAGGGAAGAGTCAGAACCGAATCCAGGTGGGTAGATTTGGAATCGGGCTGGGCATCGACCGCAGCAGCGATGCGGTCTGCTTGGTCGGCGGCGATCTTTCGTGACGCATTCGCATCGTCCATGGGTCCCGGATCGACCACAACGCAGCAGGCCATACCCAGGCGATTCAATTGCGCAAAGGTCTTGGCTACCCCGTGAACGACCGAGTCCTCTAGTTGCTGAGGGGCCTTGAGTTTGATCAAGGCCAGATGTAGTCGTATCTCCGGTATCTCCTGCGGGGGAGGGGTAGGAGTTGAGTCATGTCTGAAGACGGGACTGTCGTAAACCGAACGCGAGGCACCGTAGAACGATCCTAGATTGACCCCCGACGGCGACGAAAGAGCCACGGCTTCCTTACTTTGTTCAATTGTCGGTTTCGGGGGAGGGGTTGGGGAATGCTGAGCTTTGAGACGGGCCAAATACGATTTGGCCTCACGCTTGGTGGACGCCGAGTTCAGTAGACTGAGGAAGAATTCCTAATGCCACAACAAAGCCATCGAGAACGATTAGTGACACGCGCTATTGTGAACAGTGGGGTTGCACGGTTATCGTACGCGGTCCAGCAACTTCTCCTTCGCCCGACGACCTAAACGATCATAGCTCTGGCTGGTGGAAGAGAAGTCGGCGCTTTGATTGATCGGCCGATCGGCGGAGGACGAAAGAGGGCGACGAGCGTGGTAATCGAATTTTGTGACTTGCTGTCCATTACAGATGGAAGCCTGAGGTTGCTGCTGCTGCTGCTAGAGGAACGACGAGAACGAGGTCAGAACGAAATCCACACAATCGAAATCGACGCTATGCTTCCAAGGCCAAAAACCCACCTTCAGCAGCGCGGACTTAGTCCGCGGCCAGTTCAGCACCCTAGAGCTCATGTTTCATTCTTGACAAAGACCAGGGAAACCGGGATCAAAAAGAGATACATAGAATGATTCAACGGGGAGAAAAGAAGAAGAAGAAAGTAAGTTCGAAGAAAGAATGGAGGAGACGGGGGAAGTTCACGGGGAAACTTGGGCAGCAGCAGCAACGGCGAGCGCGGGTCGGGGAAAGAAAAACGGAGGAAAATGAGTCGAGGCGGATAATGACGCATCTCGGGCGGCACTCTGATTCGGTGCCGATAACGCTGATCGATAGCTGGGCCTCCACTTCACTTCTCCCCTTCTCCTCCTAGACTCTTAGATTATCTTCTAGCTAGTACACCTTTAGCCCGACGCAGGTGCCAGGATGTTATTCTCGGTCCTCGCCAGTCGCTCGGAGCTGGTTCGAAATAGCCGCGGCAATCCCGTCTCCTCGTATGAAGCTCCGTCGACAATCATTTTCGCAATCCCTTGCGCAGAGAGGAAAATCTGCGGCATCCCATGACCATTGAACCCGGCGATGATGAGCTGTCCGGGCTTGTGGGGAACATGTCCGAGATGAGGCAGAGTGTCGGCGGTATCTCCCATAACTGGTTAATGTCGGTTAATAAGAGGAACCAAGAGACGAGAAAACATGAGTAATTGCAGATAGACGGCACATACTTCCTGTCCAAACCCGGTCGGTATAAGCTCCCGATCTCTCCCACCCATGAAAGCGCCGTTGCATGTACTTGTCAAAGTATCGCACAGCCGATTCAATCACTCTACTGTCATCCGTGTTGTTGTACCAGTCCGTGGCATTGTGATAGAAGGTCGATTTGGCTCCTCCCACAACGATGCTTCCGTCCGGCCGGTGGATCAGGTAGTCATAATCCCAGGCGTTGGACCGAAAGGTGTACGAACAGTTCTTTGCATTCTCGGGCGGATTGGGCACCACGATTCGGCTACAGACTCCTCGCACTGGGACGATATGATTCTTGTACTCGGGTGCCAGGGCGGCGGTATAGGCGTTGCTGGCGAAAACAACCTTCTTGGCTCGGATGGATCCCCGACTTGTCTCAACCGTCCACCTCCCATCCGTACCGGGTGATTCCGAAACTCGGTGCACAGGGGTATATGTCTGAAGATTGGCTCCACCGAGAACCGCCTTTTTCAGGAGGTGCAGCACGAGTTTATAGGGCCAAACTCGCCCCGTGCGATAACTAAAGCATCCTCGGGCTCCTTTCACCCCGGAAACCTAGTGCCAGTCAAGCGCTCGTCAGGCGTGGTTCGTACGAAGAAGGGGAGAGTCTTTTGAATCTTACGGCTTCTGCAGACTCTGACGGACTGAATTCCACCTCTTTCACCCTCGTAGCACCTTGCGACCTGAGCAAGTCGTACGCGGCCTTGGTTTTGGCGCATTGCTCGTCGTCAAAATGCACGTCGAAAACTCGATTCAAATCTAGGTCGCATTCGATCTTCTCCCGCTCGATGAACGACTGCAGCTCCAAGAGGTGTTTCGTTTCAAACTCCGCCACCTCCTCTGCTGCCTCGACTCCGTGTTCCGCGGCAAAAATACCAATCTGGTAGTACGGATCGGGCTTGAGATGGCCGCCTGTGTCGAGGCCATGGAGTTAGCTTTTTTGTCGCCCTTCCACTTCCTGGTTTCTTATTTCGTAGATTACCATTGCGACCCGTAGCCCCAGAGCACGCCTGGCGGGCTTCCAGGATGACGACTGAAGGACTCTGGGAGAACGATTTGCTTTGCTCGAGGCAGTGATAAGCAGTGGCAGCCCCCGCGAATCCAGCGCCGATGATCACGATGTCGGATTCATCAGGAAGGGCATCCGTCGAGCGGTGATTATCCAAAGGATCGGGTTCGGAGCGCCAGAAGGAAGTCATGCCATGGTTGACGGGAAATGGCAGGGACATCGTGGCGGATGAAAAGCTTCGATGGGTTGGACAGCGACGACAAAAGAGGGGAATCTTAATAGGCAGTACTTATGAAACGCGCCGTCGACGATAAGACCCCGAGGGACTGCCACATCATCCTGGTCAAATGCGGAGAAGGGGGACATGGACGGCACCCAATGATTAGGAAATAACCGTTCTCTTCTGCTTCGTTCCTTCTGTCCCTCTGTCCTTTTGTTCAAGTATAAATTATGTCACCGTGCATGCTGCATGGCGGGGACCCTCATTCCGTATCAGGCAGGTCATTTTGTGAACGTTCTATGCAGGTTAGCGATGAATGAACGAATGAATCAATCAATAGATAAATTGATTTTGAATCGATCTCGCGTGGTTGTTTTCATTCATTCGTTCTTATACTACAGAGTATAGTCCTGAATCCTGATATCGCCGTCTTATCGCCGCCCCGCGGAAAGAAGCGCTAGTATCGGCCTGACAATACTATCGCTAGAGTCACTCAAGGAAGGTAGAATTTAATCATCTCCCTAATAAGGTAGAGTCATAGTTGAGAGATAATCTTATCTCTTCAGGCAGACTCTTCCTGCCTGAACCACAGAACTGTAGAACAAGGAAGGACCTTCCTTCCTCGTGCAGGCTCTTTCCTCGTGATTGCCCCAGACTTCCCTACCTTGAGGGACAACAAGTACAGGAGGAACTACCAAGGTATGTGGCAGTCCTAGTCGCAGCAGCGACCCGTTGACCCTGGTCTGGGGGTGATCTATACTTACATACATCGTGTGCCGTCAACTTCGGGTCCAGCAAAGCTTCTGGAAGTGAATCCCGAGTCATCGAGTCTTATCGTCCGCATCAAGCTAAATCGACCCCCACCCTCTTCTAGCCTTTCCGAAGATTTGGACCCCTCGAATTATCGGCTCTTTTTCATCCTTCCCAATCACTTCCCCCCTCCCTTCGGCCAATCCCTTCGTCTCGATTTTTGTCCCCTCCCTGCAACTTATCCTTCTTCTCCCGGGAATTTGTCGCCTCAATACATTTGTGTGAACTTTGTGTTCTTTCAAGGTATTCCTCTGATTTTTTTGGTATTCCGCGCTCTTTTGTGGGGAAACTAAACAACCCGATTTCACTTCTTCGCGACCTGCCGTAACCCTTGAAAGGAGATCCCACCCAGGAGATGTCTTCCGACTCCGTCGATAAACAATATCAGGAGGCGATCAACGGCCTGAAGCCATTGTCGAATGTTGATCATTCCTTGCCCGCGACGGGCTCCGACCTCTCGCGCCTGAGTGGCCGAGCGGACGTGGCCATCGCGAACGGTCTGTCCTTGGACGAGGTGGAAGATGACGACGAGGAAGAGGTCGACGAAGACTACGTCGCCGTGGATCATGACGACGTCAATGAATTCCCTTACTGGTTTCGTCGCCCGCCCGTGCACCACCGCACCAAGTTGGACGAGCTTCATCCCTTCGTTCAGGTCCTGACCGCGTCGAATGTGGACGACTGCGTGGAGGTGGAACAAGCATTCCCGGAACAGGAGCGCTGCTCCCGAGACAAAGTACGGACCCAGCCAGCATTGATCGCAAAGAACCGGCGACTGACTTGAGATCTTCTTTCCAGTTCATCTACCGTCTCAACCGATGCCCCGAGCTGTGCCTGGGTCTTTTCACCCTGCCCATCGTGAAGGACGGCGAACCGAAACCTCGTCCGATCCTGGTCGGACATATCGTTGCCACTCGAACCTCGACAGAGCTGGTGACCGACAAGTCCATGCAGCTGCCGGCGAAATGGAAGACCGACCGGTTCGCGGTCGAAAATGACGAGACCATTGGCCACGACGAATACGGCAGCACGATTGCGATCCACTCCCTGGCTGTTCGGCCCGAGCACCAAGGAAAGCAGGTCGCCAGCACCTTGATGAAGTCGTACGTCCAGAGAATCAAGGAGGCGCAAATCGCGGACCGTCTGTCCATCATCACGCATGATCACCTGGTATCGTTCTACGAATCGTTCGGGTTTGAGAACCGCGGCCCTAGCAAGTGCCAGTTCGGCGGAGGAGGCTGGGTAGACTTGGTAAGTATCAATCTCAACCTTTCCCCCTATCTTTGTTTCCTTATACTGACCGTACGTAGGTTCTCGAGTTCACCCACCAAGAATAAGATCCCAATGGACCAATTCACCCTACTCCTCCTCACCTCTATTACCCTTCTTCTACCTTCCCCCCCCCCCCCTTTACCTATACTATATGAGTTTCCTTGCCGTTATCGCACAAAATTCCCATTCAATGGCTTATGCATGGATGTTATCTTTATGTTAATGTTATTACTACCCCTCCTCGGATTTGGTTTTACGTGGGTTAAGAGAAAAAAAAAAGTAACGGAGTTCTGTTTGGGCTACGACGATTGCGGGATGAATTTTGACGATGATGAATCCCACGGCTGGCGGTCTGGTTTAGTCAAGGCAAGGAGTCTTTGTATCATAGTCCATAGTCCCACGATAGTCAATGTACATGACATTGCCTGATCAATCAAGACAGAATTCCTGGTACTCCTTCCGGAGAGAAAGTAGTTGTAGGAGGGAGGTCTGGCTCTCGGTTACTAAAAACGTTCCCCACATTTGGACTCACCGCCCGCCAAAACTCTTGCCTCCGACCGCCCGGACTTAATATTTTTTTTTTTTTTTTTTTTTTTTATCTCGAGATCTCTCGGTCGCTGAGAGAACGAGCCTTTTTTTTCTCCCCCTCCCATCACCCCATCTTTCAGCTTGGGGATATTCTTGAGAGTCAATCATTGCACTTCTCAGGTACCTATCATGAAGACTACTTGGAAAGATGTATGTTCTTTTGGGTGCCCCCCTCCCCCTGATCCATGAAACAATCCAGACTGACGATATGCTTTTTTTTCGTCACCGCTTAGATCGCTCCTGTGCCCACGAGCCAGGAGTTTTTGGATATCGTCCTCAGCCGTACTCAAAGACAGCTGCCTACTCAAATTCGTGCTGGCTTCAAGATCAGTCGTATCAGAGGTATTTTGCGATCTTTCGAAAGAGACAGTCCGTCGATATGGTGGAAGTCGATGCCACCGTCGGACGATAAAGGAATTTCGTCGCTAATACAAAAATTTTCGTTTCTGCCCGTCAGGCTTCTACACTCGAAAGGTCAAATACACTCAGGAAACGTTCTGCGAAAAATTCCAGGCGATTCTCGATGGATTTCCCCGACTCCAGGATATTCACCCTTTCCGTAAGTTTCTTTTCTCTTCGATCGGATTTTTTTCAATCAAGTTCATCCTTCTAATGTTCACCAGACAAGGATTTGATGAACACCCTTTACGATGCCGACCATTTCCGTATCGCTCTCGGTCAAGTTTCCACGGCCAAACATCTGATCGAAACCGTGTCTCGCGACTACGTCCGTCTCATCAAATATGCGCAGTCTCTTTTCCAGTGTAAGCAACTTAAGCGCGCCGGTCTCGGACGTATGGCCACCATCTGCCGACGTCTCAAAGACCCTCTCGTCTACCTGGAGCAGGTCCGCCAGCATTTGGGCCGTTTGCCCGCCATCGACCCCAACACCCGTACCCTCCTGATCTGCGGGTACCCCAACGTCGGAAAGTCCAGTTTCCTGCGCAGCATCACCCGCGCCGATGTCGACGTCCAGCCCTACGCTTTCACCACGAAGAGTTTGTTCGTCGGTCACTTCGACTACAAGTACCTGCGATTCCAGGCCATCGACACGCCGGGTATTCTGGACCATCCTCTGGAGGAGATGAACACGATTGAAATGCAGTCGATCACCGCTATTGCCCATCTTCGGTCCGCCGTCATGTACTTCATGGATCTCTCCGAGCAGTGTGGTTACTCCGTGGGCGACCAGATCAAGCTGTTCCAGAGCATCAAGCCTCTGTTCGCCAACAAGATCGTGTTCCTCGTGATCAACAAGATCGATGTCCGACGCCCCGAGGACCTGGAGCCCGAGTACCAGGAGCAGCTTCAGGCGATCCTCAAGGCCGACGACGTTGAGCTGCTGCAGCTGTCCTGCACCACCACCGAGGGTGTGACGAACGTGAAGAACGCCGCTTGCGACAAGCTCCTCGCCGACCGAGTTGCCCAGAAGCTGAAGTCCGGATCCAACAGCTCCGGTACTCCTGGTGGACGTCTGGGCGATGTCCTGGCTCGTATCCACGTGGCCAAGCCCATGGGTGGCGTGCAGCGCGAGACTTTCATTCCCGACGCCGTGCAATCGCTCCAGAAGTACGACAAGGACGACCCCAACCGGAAGATGCTGGAGCGGGATATCGAGGAGGAGAACGGCGGTGCCGGTGTTTACAACATCGACCTCAAGAAGACCTACCTGCTGGAGAACGACGAGTGGAAGCACGACAAGATCCCCGAAGTGTGGAACGGCAAGAACGTTTACGACTTTGTGGATCCCGACATCGAGGCGAAGCTGGCCTCCCTGGAGGAGGAGGAAGAGAAGCTGCAGGCCGACGGGTTCTACGAATCCGACGACGAGGTGGAGGAGGCTGAAGACGCCGAACTGCGCATGAAGGCCGACCTGATCCGCGAGAAACACGCCCTGATGCGCAACGAGGCCAAGATGCGCAAGTCGCTCAAGAACCGCGCGGCCATCCCCCGAAGCGCCAAGGCCAAGAGACTGTCGCAGATGGAGTCGGCGCTGGAAGAGGCCGGTTACGACGTTGATGCCGCCTCTGCCCGGGCCCGCACCCAGAGCCAGGCTCGCGGACGTCCCATCACACGCGAATCCAACGACGACGCCATGGACGTCGACATGTCGGACCCTCGCCAGGCCATCGCCAAGGCCAAGGGTCGTGCTCGCAGCCAGGCTGCTACGGATCGTCGCAACGACGGTGTGACGGACGAGATGGCGCGCACCAAGGCGGACCGTCTGGCCAAGCTGGGCCAGAAGAAGATGAACCGGATGGCAAGAGCTGGAGAGGCCGATCGACACACGACCGCATCTCTGCCCAAGCATTTGGTATGTTTCCTCCCTTCACTGTTTATTACCAAGTATGATATACTGACCAATGTAGTTCGCCGGAAAACGAACCATCGGCAAGACCCAACGTCGGTAAACGGCCCACGGCCCACGATGAGACGAAGTCTGCCTTCTATAATATCTATCATCATCGTATACAGTTATCGGTCATGAACTGGGTGTCTTACAAAAAAAGGCGTCGGGTGTTGTTTGTTTCGATGTTTCTCTTTTGTTTTCTCACGGCCTCTGGATGACACAATTCCGCGTAAATACCTGGCAGAGGAGAGATGACCTTTTGCTACTTTTTCTTTAGCTACTCTGACGTTCTGCTTGATGTTGATATGTCTGTCTCTGCAATGAAAACGCCGATGTCGATTGGAAGATGATTTTGCAAGGCTATCGTAGGGATGACCAAAGACATTAAGATTGTAACGAGTGCTGCATTAGTTATTAAATATGATAAATGTAGAATCACTTCCTCAGCTCCTCTACCGTCTTCATGAACCTTGCCTTGATCCGCGTCATCATAATCCTGGGCTTCGACTTTGCCTTCGTGGTCTCCTTGGTTTCCTCCGCCTCCTTCGTCTCTGGCACCTCCTTCGTCGTCACGTTCACCTTAGACGTTGTTTCTGCCTTGGATTTCGAATTTTTCGCAGGATCTGTCGGCATTCTTTTTATCTCTGTTATTTCATCATCCAGTCTCTGGCGCTCTGTCGCTTGATCCTGCCGTTTCTGTAGATCTTCCGTATCTTCCTCTATCTCTTGTCGCTGCGTCTTGTCGTTGCTGTTCTGTCCAACACCATCATTCGCAACTTCATCGTTTCCCATTCCTCGGACGTATATCTTATCCTGCTTACCCTCCTGGCCATCCTGGTTCTTGGTTTTTTCTTTTCCCGCCTTATCTGTGATGGCAGAGTCCATAGCCATCGTGATACCGTTTGTCATCTTTCTGTCTTGAGCGTGCTGCTTTTCCTTGCTGTTTTGGGATCCGTCGATCCTGGGAACTGTACACGCATAGTACCCAGCCATATATTAGCATGATCTTCCTCGACCAACCCAACAGCATCCACTCTTCCTCTTCCCTAAAGAGGAGAAGGAAAGAAAGAAAGGGACACATACATAAAGTATCCGTCGGGCCCAGCACAATATCATGTACGGGATCCGCCGCCTCGCCACCCTCCTCCTTCTTCCCACGGGGATCAACACGATGAATCTTCGGCACGGTGCGATATGCAGGATCCTCGTGGTGACGAATCTGGTGTCCACGGCGGTGGTGCCGATCGGTTCCGCGGACTTTGAAGTCGTAGGTGAAGTCGTTATTGGCGCTGGGGTCAGGTGGGTTGAAGAGGGTGGTGTGGTAATTATGGTGGTGTTGGCCGGAGAAGGGGTCGTGGAAGTCCATTTTTCTTTGGTTTTCTCTTTTATTCCCTTTCTTTTGACTCGTTGTTTGGTGTAGGTTGTATGTTGATGGTAGGAGTAGTGAATCGGAAGGGGGGGGTTAGTGGGCTTTGCGAAGGGTGGGTAGAGGGGTTGGTGAATAGAGAGGGCGACAGCGATTAGGAAGAAGTGATTGGGATTAGGATTTATATGGAATGGTAGCTGTGCCATGGTTTCAGAGCTAATTGGATCAGTATTACATAGGGAGGTGCGAATATTGACGGAACTGATAGGAGGATGCGTCATTATTATGATCATGATATGGTTATGGAAGGGCAGTAGATACTGGCACGAGATGATAGCACAGGAAGTCTTTTGATAGAATGATAGATGATAGACACGTTGAACCACGCATATCTCGCAAGTTCGGTTCGTGAAGGGTGGTGCCTGCTGTTAACAACAACAAACACTCATCTCCTTCGCCTCCATGGTGATTACTTCTAACTTCAACCCTTCCACATTTCTCATCCTCTCCCCCGAACGCGAGATCACAAACACAATACCCTCACGTCAGTACCATTCTCCAAGCTCATCTGAGGTGTGTACGACCCCGAACTATGCATCGACTGAGATATCTAACATCCATCTACATAGACCACTCATTCCCCAGAACGACAATAAGTCTCATCTCGCAACAAGCACCAGCCAGCCTCAACCTCAAACATCAAACCTCCCCACCTCCATCAACACCACAAACGTCCACATCAACCATCCAAACCAAAACATCAATGCCTCCCCCAAAGCGCTCCCACTGCCCCTTCTCCAGCTCCACCTGGGAGAAACCCCCCAAGATGGCCTGCACCCGCGACCAAGACCCCTCCTGGACCAAGCAAGCGCTCGAGACCATTAGCGTCAAAAAGCAGCCCAAGATGAACAAGTTGCTCGACATGAAGAAGCGGATCGAACAAGCGGAGAAGGAGCTGGCGATGCTGAACGACAAGAGCGATCAGAACTTCCGATCCGCGTGTCTATGACGGACCTGTGCACGACGGATTATCGCGAGAGGATGAGTGGCTGAGGTTCTATCGTGATACTACTCAAGGAGTACTTCATGTGTTACAGCTACAAACTTCTGGGACCATACTTCTTCGTCATATTAGTTGGCCTGCTAGCTAGACATTTGGATATTGAAGTTCCAACAGGTGAATAGATGTTGACAGGTAATCTTAGGTGATTCGCGAGAGACGTAAATATCATCCATGTGCAAGGTGCTATAGTCATCTTGAAACCCGTAGGAAGGATCTCACGCAGGTAGAATTGGTTAAGGAAATGACAAATAAATTCTAATATACAACACAAAAAAAAGATGCGAATTGTTAATACAAATAAACAGGGGCCCAATCGTACAGTATTTCATAACTTTCCTACTCTTGCAAAAACAAACGAGAAAAACACCATCGGTCCAAAAGCTAGAGAAAGGATTCGAGAAATAACCCAAGACAGAAAGGCAACTCATCAACTCATCAAAGCGGTGCGCGTACTTTGCAGAATGTCAATAAACACTGGCATTTGGTCTGCTATCGTTCTGTGTTGGCTCCCCGACTGATGGCCGTAGTCTGTCAAGATGTCCCGAATGCTAGCATAGGTTTGCTGCACAGTATTCGAGTTTACCAACGCGTCTTCTACCTGACATATGAAGAGTTTAAAAAGTTCAGCCTCAGCTGGCGTCTCGAGGATTTTAGCTGTGTCCTCGCTGTTGGTCTGCACATCTTTTGCGATATCTATCGCTGCTGTCAATGAGCCCAAGACCATGTCTTTGACAAAGCGCGGTGTTTTTCCAGGACCCAGTTTTCGGACCTTATCAATTGTATCCAGAAAACCGACGACCAGCTGGCCCAAGTTAGGGCTATCCAAGGACGATTCGCAGCCGAGTGCCAGAAATCCATATGCCCTGCTCCACCCAACCGCGGACTTCGATTCGACGATCCCATGTCGCAGGCGCATCAGTTTATCGCCCGTGACGTTGTGGCGTTGAAGGATTGGCCACCTTTTCAGAATCTCGACGGCTAGTTGCTCAGCGTTCTCTGAGGTGAGCTCAGTCTTCGACATGGGGTTGAGGAAGTGTTCCCAAATGAACTTGATTGAGTTATCACGGGTATTTCCATCGGGAGACACGGGAAGCTGTCTCTCGGCCACGCGTTGTACGGCGCTCAACCAGCTGTAGGAACGTCGCGGCTCGGCTGAAGGCATCACAGCTGCGACTCGCACCTTCTCGGTCCATTGAGTCCGTCGCTCTTTAACGGACTTCACATCGGTTCGATACTCCAAGAAATAGAAGATTTCCTCGGGATTGATCGGGAAAGCACCGTATCGCGGAATGGTTGGCTCAACCTCCAGCAGAACATAAAATTTCGGTTTGCGGCGCTTGATATCACGCTTGACGGGCGTGACAACCTCCAAAGGAAAGTGTTCGTCAGACATGGACATGGTCCTTGGCTTCCTAACATCGGGCAAGCTAGGATGAGGAACGATGCCCACTACAAGATATCGCTCTTTATCGATAACAGTGCCCTGGGAGCATTCTGCAAGGTCGGAGTCCGGGGTGTCGAGCTTTTTCAAGGCTTCTTTCCAATGGAGCGAAGATGGTGTATTTGCCGTAGCCAGATATGGAATTGGACGATCTTTGTGGAAATAGTCGAGCTCATGGACGAGGCCACTGAAGGTTGCCGCGAAATAGTGCCTCTTCTGGGCCATCTTCGCGGCAGAACACCTTCTTTCGTCTCAGATATAGACCAGAGAAGTGTTCAGCAAGACAGAGTGACAAACACACCATTCCATTCGTAAATCAGTATAATTATATGTAATCCGTTGGAAGGGTTGAGATTGTGACGTGCTGCTATCGCCTGTCGGAATCCAAGGATCTATTTCAGCACTCAATTAGTAGGGCTCTTTATTGATTGGCTCAACTGGTTACTTACGTCACAGGAGTGTTATTCATGAACGGAGAAGAAATTCCAGCTTAGAGCCTAAAATTAATAAATAGAAGGATTGAAGAAGGCGGGTGGGCGAGGCTCAATTTATCTTCGCAGCCAAAAGGGAAAGTGCCGGTATCACGACGTCAACCCGGTAGTGAAAGGGATTGTTCCTGCTTCTTTTCTTTTTAAGAGGATCATGGGACAGGCTGCTATTTGTCAGCCCAAGCTATCCCCTATTCATGCACTGGGGACTTGTTCTATCTTCGTGAAGGCCGAGACCTGTTGCAATTTTCGTCTTCCCACAATCGCGCTGTGTCCCTAGATGATCCGCCTGTGTGGTTACAATATCTCTTCGCCAGACAATTGTCTAAATTTGATTTCTGTGGATCACACGAAACCTAGATAGTAATGTTAGAATTTCCACTCTCAAAGAAAGGGAACATACCTTGTTCACGCCGCCTCAAAGTGATCCTTTCGCATATAATTTGAGCACAGGCCAGTACATCCCGATTGATCATGCAGCGACTACCACAATGAAGTATTGTTTGCCAAAAGGCTAACTCCAAAAGACTTACCGTACAAATGAAGCTTTGAGAAGGAAAGCGCAGTTTGGGGTTCTTTGTAAGAGTGAATGCTCAACGGAGGATGAGGAAGAGAAGGAAGAATCCGTTTGCTTGTAATGGTTTGCTCGCCTGTTCAACTGTTTGCGACCTCTTTATAATGCATTCCTAGTCATAGAAGCCTTCATTTTCCAAATTCCTCTTCATCTTCCTCTTCTGCTCCTTCTGTCCAAGATATCCCACATGAACTCACTGTAACCATACCATGTAAGTTGGGTTCCATGAAGCTGATCTATATCATCTTATCAACCCAGACGCTAACTCATAATTTCAGGTCATCCTCCCAAACCCCCGACGAAACGACAGCCATCAAAACAGTCTGCCTAGAAATCTTACAGTGCTTGTCCAAGAGCGACCTCTGTAAATCCCCCAACCCCTTAAACTTTGGACGTGCAAAAAGGCTTTGGCCGTCAGAAACGGACTTCAAAAAGGAGTTCCACCGATGTCTGCGGACTCAGGTTAGAGGGAAGCTAGGGACCACGCGAAATGATTCCCAGGCCGGGGTCTATATCCCGGACTTCATTGTCAAAGAGGAAACAGGAGAATGGAGCTTCTGTATATTGCTGGATGCAGATTGTGAGCAGCTTCGAGAATGTGCCGCGCGATTCGAACCCACCGGAGCCTATCAGAAACCTTATGGGGGTAGATTGAAGGAATGGTTGATTCTGGACTGTCGACAGGAATGGCCGCAAGTCTGCTGTAGGTCTAGAGCCTTTCTCTTCCTCTCTTCATTCATTTCCCCTAGTCAATGAATCACTCGTTAACAGGCCCTCATATGAAATAGGTACGGAAACGAAACGGGTTCTGAGGCTGGTCTTTCTGGACGAGATGTCTTCTGTTCAGGTTCTCGACTCGGAGAATCGAGAAGTCATTCCAAAGTTCTCCATTGATCATACGCTGCCTGCTTAGCTGTGATATTTGATCGAGCAGTCTGCTTCACTTGTTTCTCTCTTGGTTCAAACATTCTTGGGTTAAGTGAGCGATTTAGAGTGACCAAGACCAGTGCTTCTTTCTTCCTTTTACTTTGGTTATCATGAACATGATGAATTGGATCGCTCGTTAGAGATCTCCAGATTGGCTCTGTTCCCTGTTGTCCTTCCTTTAGCAAATCTATCTGGTTGACAATAAACAGCTTCTGACTGTAACCAAAGCCTGGACTAGGAGGGATACAATAATCAGTGCGGTGGTCGTTCGGATGTCCGTTGCCACTCAAATGGAATGGAACTCCGACGAGGTCCTCCGTCGACAACTCCGAGGACCATAAATAGCCCTCCCATTTGTGCTGGTCAATCATTCAACTCGTCCCTTGATTGCCCACCATAATTCTCCGGTCAATCCACGCAGAATCCCACATTCCGATTCTCCGTCAATTCATCAAAGACAACCCCCTGGGAACCTTCACCACGGCGATCTCGTCGCCAGGATTAATGCATCGCTATGGATGCAATCCCATCCACCCCTGTCGCATAGGATCTCCGCTTTCAGTTCGGCTTATGAGATATCGGCCTAGGAGTTGACGGTAAATGATCGGAGAAGCTGTAGACCTTCGTCTAGATCATCAGCAACACGTGATGACCCTGCTAGATACAAAAACCCCTTCTAGAACAGCTCTGACAGACAGAATGCAGATTCTTGATTCATAGTTACTTGGCCATAGCATTAGTCGCTAGGTCCTGTTCTACATCAGGAATTCACCGACTATGACCCTGCCCAAATGCTTGAAGCCCCCGTGGCTACGAAGTCCTAAACGGGACTCCAGTGATTGCATCGAAGGTGATGATGCCAAGAGCAGGTGAGTATACTATATCACAGAGTCCTAGAATCTAAGTGGATCTATCTGACTTGAACAGTCAAATACTCATCGAGTCTCATGAGGTCTGTGTCGGCAAAAAAGAGGGCCACATGGTGCGCAATGGTACGTGCATCGTTCTGAATGTGGTCTTCCAGAGTGCTCATTCCACTTATAGCAGATCAGTGTTTTGGAACTTGCTGTCGGCGTCCGAAGAGTAGTATCAGTGATCAGTGCTGGGGTAGTTGCTGTCGAGGATCGACTTGAGTCATTTCTATATGCTTTCTTTTCTGGGCAGAACTGCACTCTGATCCGGCTTGGACCTTTGATATATACAAGACTGAAAAGGTTTTAATGCAAATTGCTCCCGAGTCACTAACCCACAAATCTGGGTCTCTAAGTAATCTCTTGTGAAACTCTATCAAGGTGCGAAGATATTGAAAGCACCGTCCAAGTTCTGGGCATATTAGTTGAGACCATGCAATTCTGAAGAGCCATACGTACCGAATTGATCAGGTCCGGATCCATCCACTCACGGATATCGATCAAGTTTTCAAATAGATTTTCAAATTCAGCCTCGGAGCCTTGTGTTGGGGGATTTTCTGTTCCAGCCTGGACCCTGGAGAAAACATTCAGTTAGCTGAAAACGGCTACAGTACATACAAACGCGTAACCTACTGTAAATGATGAAGTATACGATACGCTCTGAGACAGATATAACTTCTCCCCGAGAGGTCTTTCATATGAGCAATCAATGTTTCAATCTCCTGCCGAAAAAAGTTCAAGTCATATCCTGGATCCACTGCTGATGAAATATCTTGAAGACATGAATTAAGGGCCACGGCTGCATGTAAAGCTTTCATGCTGGTGACACCGCTAAGAAGCCAGAGATAATTTCGAAGTAGCGGAGCTTCGTAAAGCTGTCTGTGGATGGATACCAAGGCCGCTCCAGAGTTGATACATCTTTCTCGGGACGCTGGAAGAAAATCTGGTGCTTTGGAATGGTGGAACGGTCGGTGGAGAAGAAGATAGAGATGATGCGCGTACGACTGTAAGACGCACCAATATGCATAGCTGTTAGCATCCAAAATGTTGGGAGACCCGTCAATCAGATAGGCCGCATCCCATTGCTTTTGTTCCTCGGCTATTTCTGCGTCGAATTCATGGAGTAACTGCTGATCTAGTCGGGACGGACCGGAGATATGACGACAGATTTGGATGGAGAGTCGAAACAGGCGAAGCTTGGCCATCATGACTGACATCTGTGTAATCTCGCCGCGACTGGATGGCTGTAAGATGGCTTCATCCGTAATATCGGAATCATTGACATCGGCCGGTGAGGTGGACTTGATGTTTAGAAGATATGACATATCGACGTCCCGAAATAGCATACCCTGATACGTATGTAACGTCAAAAGACCAGCCCAACAGCGTCGCCGTCTTTCGGCCTCGACGAGGCTTCCTAGGTTCTGATCTACATTGCACCGTAATGCAATGCCAATATTCAACGCCATCCCTAACAAAGCCCATGCTTGGTCGACGGACTCATTGTGGGAAAGGTTGTAAATTACCATTAATAAAGCCTCAAATGTACTGAATTTGTGCCGGATAAAAAGCTCATCCTGTAGAAGGCAGGTCATTGCCGTTCGGAGAAGGCGGCGAGACAGAGACGCCGTGGCAGGTACTTGCGTCGGACTTGAAGGAAACCGGGACCAGAAATATGCTAGTCGGGGATCACTTTCATCCATAGTGTTCAGAGACAAAGAGCATATAGAGAAAAGTAGAGCTAGCCATGGTAAGTCAACGTCATGGGGCCGTTGCATAAACGCTGTATATTGCCTTTGGAACGTCGGTCCATGGAGAATAGGGAATAGCGCCGAGATGTATTTGAAAAAGTGTGAAGTTAGATAGTCGCAACAAGACTTGGGGGGAAGAGAGTCGATGATCTCTTGACGGGAGATGCGCGGACTGATGGAAAGAGGCGGAGAGTCATGTTCCGGAGCTGGTCTGTCAAGTACTGTTTCCCATTGTGCACCTAAAGGCGCTTGATTCGTTTCAGTTATTGGCAGTTCGGGATGTAGAATTGAAGCACTGGCAAGGTCTGGTCTCAACGGAGGAGACGGAGCTACTCCACTGCCTAGCGGAGTTGAAACTAAAGCAGTAACGGACACTCGGGGTTTTCTGGTGGATGTAGGGGCACCAGAGGGAGTCTCGTATGAGCAGCTGGCCTCACGCCTGCGACGCTTGCAAGCGCCACAGGGGTGCTGACGATCGCATCGCAACTTAGAGCGTCGGCATTGCTCGCAATTAACGGCTTTGCGCTTTCGGCGATGAGATTCGGGAAGTTGGTCCACAGGCCGGTTAGGGCGGAAATCATATGCATCGTTGGCCTCCATCAAAGAAAAAAAAAGGGAAATCAAAACAAGGGGACCTGCACAGACAATTCCAAAATAAAAGTCCGACAGGAAAGTTGAAGGTCGGACATGCGATGATGAATGAAGTCATGAGGAGATGGCAATTGACGAAGTCCGATCTCCGCGATAAGGGCTTATCGGGACCCACTTAACTCCGATGTGGAGTCACGGACATCCGATGCCTTCAGATGAACTGACAAATTTGTTGGCCGCGATCATGTCCGTTGGGATTAATCTACTTCCGGGATTTTTTTCTTCTCTTTTACTCAGCTTGAGTCATGCTCAGACGTGCTAGAAATATATATCCTCGGCCCCCTCATTACCTGTGTTTTCCTTCATTGTGTTGCACTGATCGGCAGCCATGGAGACATACTTCCAGTACCAAAGAGTTCGGAAAGCAGTCCGCCAGCACCTGGCAGAGCTGGAAACTGACTGTAACTGCCCGAGCTATACTGTCGGGTCTTTTCACAATGCGGAGTAAGTTTATGCGAAATTTGACCCGGGGCTCGTTATTCTAATACATCTTCGTAGCTGTACATTGAGCATCCACCACGGCCCTCTAGAGAAACCGCCTTCTGCAAACCCGACGAGCTTAGATGACCTGCTCCTTGTGGGCTGGGATGGCCCAAATGATCCTTTAAACCCTGCCAGTCAGAGTACTGCACGCAGAATATGCATGACGCTTATGGTGTCTTTGATCGCATTTGCAGTCACTGCCGCATCGGCGATCGATGCTTGCGGTGTGAGGGAGTATAGCGAGTACTTCCATGTATCGGAAGTCGTCGGGTCTCTGGCAACAGGTAAGACGACATTTTTCTACTTTCTACGATTAATATAACTTCCTTCCCACCGCAGAGAAAACCTAAGCTAAATCTGATCTGTTTTCTCAAAGGTCTCTTTCTCATCGGTTTCGCATTTGGTTCCCTCCTCTCGGGTCCTTTCTCAGAAACCTTTGGCCGCAATGCGATCTATTCAACGACGATGCTCCTCTTTTTAATCTTCATTATGGCGTCGGGCCTTGCCCCAAACCTCCACAGCCACCTAATCTTACGCTTTTTTGCCGGCTTTTTCGCTTCTACCCCACTAAGCTGCGCCGGCGGTACGATTGCGGATCTATGGAATCCGCTCGAGAAGGCTTATGCCTTTCCTATATACGCTATCCCCGCATTTGCAGGGCCGATGGTCGGGCAAATAATTGGAAGCTATATCCCAACCACGATCGGCTGGCGTTGGTTAGAGTGGACGATGCTCATCATGGGCGGCGCGGTCCTAGTTCTGGTCTTCCTCTTTCAACCCGAGACCTATGGTAATCTGGTTCTCCACTGGAAGGCCTCCATACTTCGACAGGAAACCGGCGATGAGAGATATAGGGCGCCAATGGAGATGAAGCGGGAGAGCCTGGGTCAGCGCCTGAAACTCTCGGTGTACCGGCCATTTGCGATGTTCTACTCGGAGTTGATCATCATTCTCATCTCGCTCTATCTGACGATTATCTATATCGTCCTCTTTACTTTCCTGGAAGGCTATACTTATGTCTTCGGTGAAGCATATGGTATCTCAAAGGGCCTGACTAGTATTTGCTGGGCGGGTATGCTTGTCGGGGTCTTGCTTGTCAGCTGCGTGGTGCCAGTGGTTTACAGCTGGACTGCAAAGGCTTATGCTCGAGACAAGTCATCTACTATTGCCCCTGAGATGAGACTCTGGTATACAATGCTTGGTGGTGCACCAGCAGTACCGATCAGTTTGTTCTGGATGGGATGGACCAGCAATGTAAGTTGTTGGGATATGCCCCTTGGATCGCGAAAAACTAATAATCATCTAGCCAACCATTTCAATTTGGTCGCCCCTTGTCGGGTCTGTCCTCTTCGGCTACGGCATCACCACTATCTTCATCGTTTCATACATGTATCTCATCGATTCCTACGATACATACTCGGCCTCTGCGCTAGGATTTCTTGTGTTCACGCGATATGTGGTTGCAGGAGGCGTGACTGTTGCTGGTGGACCGATTTATCGGGCCCTCGGCGTGCAGTATACACTCACAATTCTTGGGTCTATTAGTGGAGCTATGGCTTTTGTGCCTTACCTACTATACATCTACGGACCTAGGATCCGCAAGAGCAGCAAGTTTGCGGTGAATATCGACACAAATTGATATGCTTTATATATACAATTTGCTGGGAGGGATGTGGCGGGACTGTGGGAATAATTGGACAATAGATATCAGATAATAGACGGAAAGTTAGAATTTCTTTGTGCTTAACACAATGATTTTTTCTTGAACCTAAGATTGGAAGACACCGGTTTCTTGACGGACTTAAGTATGCACAAGAAATTGCAGGGCGTGAATTCCCCGGAGTAATGGGCGATAAGGAAAGATACTTATATGGAATCAAGAATAGCTGATCTTAGTTTTGAGTTCAGCAAACCCACTCCAAGTCTCATAATCCTAGGAAGAGATCAATGAGCCTAAAGGGCTTAGTTATAAACATGGGTATTGAGATAAATCAACCATTACAAGAGACACGAACACCCGATCTATTATGCAATAAAATCGATTTTGCTTGAGCTAGCTATCTACAATTAATAATAAACGAGACCTGATATGCATATGCCCAATACTTGAGAAAAACGCCGCGGAAAAAAAAAAGAAAAAAAAAAACTATCGTAGACCCGTAGCTTTTGCGTGTCCAGACATCAAAGCGTCGACGCATGCAAGGAGAGAAGGGATCAAATATAGACAGAAAAGATGATAGTTGAGTTGTTCCAATCCAAACACACCGAGTAAAAAATGCATGGATATCAAAAAGAGATGAAAAGAGAAGAAAAAAAGGGACGTGTTACAACACCTCCTCCATCAAAAGCCCAGCCTCCGTTGGAGAGAGGGAAGAAGACACAGCACTAGGCTTGTTGTCTTCCCTTCCTTTACTCCCGGATCTCGGTGGGCTCGCTGTGCTCGACCTGACCGCCGTGCTCGTGCTTGGGAGTTCCGGGGGGGCCGTGCATATCCTCGACAACACCCTCGGGAGGAGTCCAGTTGGCGCTCTTCCAGGGAGTGACGTGCAGGACATACATGGTGTCGACTTCCTCGAGGGTGCGGCCCTGAGTCTCGTTGACGAAGAAGAAGACAATGAAGACACCAGCCAAACAGCAGCCGGCGAACACGTAGCCGTAGGCGAAGTCGATGGCACCGGAGATGAAGGGGGTGAAGAAGGAGATGAGGAAGTTCCAGGTCCAGTTCGCAGCAGTGGCAACTCCAATGCTGGTAGCGCGGTAGCGAGAGGGATACATCTCAGAGCAAACCGACCAGACGATAGGTCCCCAAGTACTGTTACGAGACACTGTTAGCCATTTGTCCTGGACAGTTCAAAGGTGATGAGGCCATGTAAGAGACTTCAAGGATGTGGATTATGTAATCAGGGGCGGGATGGGGCGAGAAAAACCCAAAACTTCAGGGGCAAGAAAAGACTTACGTAGAGAAGCCGACGATGAAGAAACAGGTGAACACGATCATGGCAGTACCGGCCTGAGGAGTGTTCTGGGGATTTTCATTGTCCAGGACGAAGTGACCGACGGAGGCCCAAATCATGAAACAGATGAACATCCATCCGGCACCGACCATCAGACTGTTGCGACGACCGTAGTGCTCGACGATGTACAGACCAGGCAGGGTCATACCGAAGTTGACAGCACCCAGAATGATCTGAGTGACGTAGCTATTGTCGAGACCGGTGGAGGTGAAGAGACTGTTGCCGTAGTAGAAGATGAAGTTGGCACCGGTAAGCTGCTGGAGGGACTGCAGGACGATTCCGAGCAAGGTACGGTAGAGCATGCGAGGACCAGTGAAGACCTCATACCAGGGAGCAACTCCGGCAGCACGCTCCTCGTCAAGCTTGTCCTTCATGTCCTTCATCTCCTGGACGATGCAGCGGTGGTTCGGGCCAACGCCGTAGAGCTTGCACATGACCCCACGAGCTTCCTCGACACGGCCGTTGCGGTAGGCATAACGAGGGGACTCGGGCAGAAAGATACTTCCGATACCGAGGATCAGGGGCCAGGCGAAACCAATGCCCATGGTGATACGCCAAGAAGCGGTCGACTGGATGGACTCGGTACCGAAGTTGATCAGGTAGGAGATGAAGATACCGAAGGCGACGAAGAGCTGGAAGGCACTGACCATGGCACCACGGACCTGGCGAGGAGCAGACTCACTCTGGTACATGGGAACCACGCTGGAGAGGGCACCGACACCCAGACCGGCCACCAAGCGGCCGACGGCGACCTGGTACCACTTGTCGTCGGTGGCCATCTGGATGATGATGCCGACCATGTGGATGAGGGACCAGAGAGTCATGGAGTACTTGCGACCGAAACGATCCGCAATAGGGGCGGCAACTAGAGCACCAATCATGGTACCGATACACAGCTTTTTGGGGAGTTAGCTCGATGACTTTGATGGCCAGCGAGATGGACTCGGGGAATTGAACCTACCAGACCGACAATCAGACCGTTGCGGACGTTGTCAAAGACATACTCGCCGTTGGCTTGCTGCTCCGCAAAACGCATCTTGAAATCCGACATAGTAGTGAAACCAGAGATTTGTCCTGTGGTATGTTAGACTTGGTCCTGATCTCCCACAACTCCCAACGCGGCAACCTACCAGTAGAGTAACCGAAGATGAAACCACCCATGGAGACGACAATACCCAGCATGAATGACCGCCATGTCAGGTACTTGACAGGAGAGTCATCGATGGTGATGTTGTCCTTCTCAATGGTGGAATCGGTTCTGGCAGGAGTGGGAGCATCCGAATGTTCCTGCTCAGCGGCCTGGGGCTTGAGCCGGCCCATCATATCAGAGACACCCATATTGTCGATTGGATTCCCGAACAATTGAATCCTATGAGATGGGATAGGTGAAAGGTGTCAAGGGAGGTAAAGGGGGAAAGGGAAGAATGGAGAAGAAAGAAAAATTCCGGAGAGACCGGAGGGGGCCGTGGAGAGATAAATAGACAGCCACAGTGAATTTGGCCTGGAACGATGTCATAGTGCGGGATCAGGTAATTATTTTCGAATAACCAAAACCGGACTAAGAATAATATGAGCGAAATGAAGAAATTGACGCTCCATCGGTCGGCAATTGACCTCCATGCCAGCGCCCAGGGATTGGAGGGCCGGAGGAACCCCATTCTCGGGGTAGGACCATGGCAAGAAAAACGGGGGCCCAGATCTCAAGGGCCCGACGGCAGACCAACGAGGGACGATAGTCCGGAGCTAGAGAACCAGATTGCTTCTTGGACGTTCGAGAGGGAAGTTTGGGGTGGGGAGACAGTGGGGTATTGGCCTGGAGAGAGACCGGAGCGATGGGAGGGCGAATGTCATCGACTCGTCGCCGTGTCGTAGCGACTTCGTGCATGTTGACTAGTCAGGCAACCGATCACTGCGACGGATGGATGATGGTTTTCCCATCATGACGCCCTTGGCGAGGGAGCACCGACCGATTGGCTGGAGGTTTTTCGGGGAGTTTTTGGCGGTTACATGGAAATATCACGAGATTAACTCCAGTATGACAGGTGAGACCATTGGGTTCTGTAGAACTGCTTGCATTGATGTTTCTATCACTAACTCGGCTATGGCTATGACCAGACTGCATCTCACCACCTACAAAGTACACAGTGACGTCCATCAACACCGTCACATCCAACTCTAGGCATTGGCATAGGATTTGCCACTCAAAATATGTCTGTAGTTTGCAGATTCTCAACAACGGACAATTAGCGGCGCTGAAACAGACGATCCACTGCAACATTGGGTAATTTTTCCTAAACAGAGAGCTCTTAACGAGTTCCACTCAATTTGTGTTGTCCGTTGGAAGGTTTTTTTTTTTTCTCCCTTTTTATTTTTTTTAATTTTAACTCTCAGGGGACGAAGTGAACTCGGGTGAGAAAAAAAAATCCAAGAAAAAAAAAAAAAAATAGGTTGACGGTCTCGTTACTCGTAGCTAGGTTTCCGGCGCCGAGAGGCGCGGCAGATCATTCCGAGTGGATCTGACCAGAGAACGGTTCGGTTGGCGATCTCAGGCACGGGCAAAGCGCAACGAGTCCAAGAAAAATCCAAGAAAGTGTAACCCTCGGCAGGCCAGGGTGGTGGGAGAACACTGGATGAGGCGAAATCCCAAGAAAGAAGCAAGGGGGAAATGGTGACTGCGAACATGTTCTTTTATAAAACTCTTTCGGAGGCATCTAGTCCGCAGGAAAAGATAAGGAGAACCGAAATATCGGCACACCGAGTCGGAATCGGGATCGTCTGGTCATCGGTATACCGATTCGGCCACCAACCGGTCGTCTCGCAGTAAACGGGAAACTCTACCATCCCGTTTGGAGCTCACCGAGAGGTGGATCGCTGGTTCCGTTATCTCTAAGGTTTGTATTGGGTCCCACAGGCAGAGTTTTTCGTTTGGCCCTGTTCCTATCTCACTATGTAAGAGAATCGTTAGTGCGGTTGACGTAGGCACGGTCGAGATCCTCTCCCTCTGCCAACCATGTCTCACCATTCCCCTGCAACCTGATCCAGTTCGGAACTTCACCGGTCAACTAAGGTCGGCCCAGGTATTCCAAACCATTTCCGGTCCCGGTGAATATGATTTTCATCCTATTTGGTCGGCATGCCGGCCAAATGAGACGGGATCAGCGGCCAGCCTAGTGAAAATTTCTTCACCGGGCCAGGGCTTGGTCGGGTCGATCGGCACTGCAGCTGGTCGCTTTCGGATGGCCACTGTGGTATGATGCTCGCAGTGCCGCTCGGTGGTCATGCAACAGACACTGCAACAACAGGCAATGAAGATGCCGTGCCTTGCGTTCATGCTTCTACAAAGTACTATAGTAGACAGAAATAATATCTAGATCTCATGAGTATCTCAGCAGGAGATATCTCGGTCATAGTTATTGCAGCGAGTTGCTGAGAAAGACCGACATTGATCCGAAAATAGACTGTACCTGACAATCATCATTAGACCTTGTGAAAAAAAAAAAAATCAAATAACAAAATCTTGGTCTACGGAAAAGCCGGTGTCTCACCATCGGACCCGATTTCATAATAGAAATCAGACTCTTACTTCTCTACTCCTACAGTCCTCCTTGCACCGTCGCAACAGCTG